GTCGCCGACTCCCCGTCGTCGCTGCACTCGCCTAACCTGACGCCAACTGTTCCGCCCCCAGGTGAAACAGGAGTGACGGGCCCACGCCCACCAACCCCTCCCGGAGGGGTCGGGGGTCACTCGGCAGCGGAGCCTGACCCTCTTGCATCCGGACCGTCAACAACCGTCACTGAGCGTGCCGGGACGGACCCTTGTGACGGACCCGCCGCGAGAACGCGCGCCAAAACGCGCAGACTTTTGTGAGGTCGGCCGTTGGGGGGCCTTGCGGACAAAAGGGGAGGGGTGTTGTGAGGTCGGCCGTTGGGGGGCCTTGCGGACGATGGGAAAGGTGACGTCCGGAGTGTATATATATGTTGGTTTTGGGGTGTTATCCGGGGGGGGTGCGTCGGGTTATTTTTTTCTCTCTCTCTCTCTCTTCCTCTCGTTGTTCTTGTTCTTGTTAAAAATTACGCGAGGCACACACGGGGTTTTTGTGAGGGATGCACCTTTATTCTGATTTTTTTTGCAGCCGGGGACGGCTGCGAGCTGTACAGGGGGGGGTGATGTAGAGGTGTAATTGCGCATGTCTACGAATGTTGAGGTGTGATTATGCATGGCCACGGATGGCCAACAAACACAAGGGGCGGGGTTACGGCCGTACACAAGGGTGGCGCTCGCACCGACGTCCGCATGTGTATCCCCCACGGGCCCCCCCCTTGGGGGCAAGTCCTATAAAAGGTGATGAGCCGAAAGGCTCGGGAGTCGGGACTCAGCTATAACCAGAGAAGACGGAAGACCAGCTAGTGTAGGCCCCAGAGCTCCCCTGGCTCGCTGTCCTTATAAGGGCCGACCAGGGCAAGCCGGTGGCGTGGCCCCGAGAGCCCAGACGAAGCTGGTCTGGTGACTCAGGGAGCCGGGATCCCAGCTTAACCAAGCTGGGACAGATAGCCTCCCCTAGTCCCGTAGTGGAGGAATTGGTATAGGTTAGAGGGGTTAGCTGTCGAGGAATCCCTGTAGCCCAGTGACCTGTAAATAACTGTGTTGGTGTAATAAATAAGTGTGCCTCCGATCCTGTCGTCAAGCCTCCATATACTTACTACACATGTTTAAATTAAGTTTTCCAAGAGTAGTCCATCCTGCCACCATTTATCTCATTTTGATCATGGGCGGAGATGCGGGGGGGTATCACGGGGGAAGCTATGCCCCCCCCCCCTAAACCGGACACTTAATTAACTTATTTTCAGTAGTTTCGAATTAACATTAAAAACCAATGAATTAATTATATGCACACGCGATTCCTAATGTTAGGAACGAAGCGAACCCCTGCCCCTCCCACACACGCAAATATAGAAGTCAAACTGCCTATGAGTTTATCCTGACAAGCTTTCAATTACCTTCTAACATATAGGCATTCCCATCGTGTCCTGTAATCCAATTTTAAAATAACATTAAAATTACAACAATTATCGGAATCAAAATCTTTATTTTTCCTGGAGAAATCCAATGAGCTATGAAGCTCTTTATAACAGATGTCAGGTAGGATGCGTGCCGGAAACATGCGGTAGATATTACGTATGAAAATTCGCTAGGTAGGTTCATGAAGACGAGACTACTTTTGTTGAATATACATGACGAAGAAAAACTTGGCTTCTTTTGTTCACAATCACGAATCTCAATTCACTTTGAACACCAGCAGTACGCTTTCTGAATTCCGTGTTTGCTGGAATTGCTTGCTGCTCGCTGGACACGAAAAGTTGGAATTGATTTGAGAGCATGGTGGTGGTGCACGCGCGGCAATAAGAAGGGGAACCTCCTGTTTTTATCTTTCTCTTTTACAGCTTTCTATCGATTCAATCTCAGATATGTTTAAAGAAAAAAATGAAAGTTTAATTAATAAATAACAACATACATTTTTCATGTAACTGAGAGCAAAGGAATATCTTGATGGCCTTCTTTTTTTACAGACTCGCCTTCTTCTTCTTCAGAAAATATTGAGAAATATAAAGAGAGAATCTTAAATAGTCTTGATAAATGAGGTTTTAGTCGCCGGTGATGCCAGATGATGAATTCACTGGGGTGCAATGAATTCTCAGAATTTGAACCTTTTTTTTTAAATACATTCCAGGAGGTAATAAATAGATTGTCTGACTGATGTGTAATGAGCTTAATCATTGCTTGAAAAGTCATTTTGTGTGGTTTAATATTGTTCCAATACGGCATGCGAATGTGAATAGGCATTTTGCAAATGGGCAGCTCAGTAAGTGCACCCTTCATTCCTATGATTGTGAATGGGGCTCTGTGGAATGCTGAAGGATGTTTTTAAACACATTCCGTTTCATCTCGACTATACACCTTCATAGCAAACCCATTACTATGGTTACTCGTGATATTTTTGAATTAAAGGTTAGGCTCATTATGTACCGGGGCAAGTGGCAACCAATACAGGATAATGTTTGACTATTTTTTCTCCAAAGACGGAATTCCAATCACTCTCTTGCCGGCACTATTACACCGCATTCCGCATTCAAATGAGGGCAAGTGTCCGCTCCAATTAAATCCAATTGCACACAGCAAAAAAAGGCCATTGTACTGTTATAGGAATCTTCAAGTCCACAAATCCACTCTTTTCCTATTTGTGCAATTAGATTTTGTAGTTGTCAGCAGTCGGGTCTGTAATGCAGATCGCTTGAAGGCCATTTGGGAAACGTCAGTAACATCTGTACGCCCTACGTTTCTAGGTTGATATTTTCGTTTGCATCTCTGTTTGCTGCAAGACCCCCATTCCATTGTTGTACCAAATTGGTGCTTATGTGGTCTGTTTTTTTTTTTACATGATGTTCTCTCTTTCTCCACCAACTGTGACAATGGCCTCAGTTAGAGAGGGAGAATCAATTATATTATTGTAGCGGGATCAGCCAAGGAACAGCACTTGACAAAAAACACTTCCCAGTGTCTCATACACCATCCAGAATGCGCTTATCTACTAAAGAGCTACGGATTGCATTGGTGTCTTAATTTTACACAATTTGGGGTGGCCACTTAGCTTTTTATCTCGCGGGATTTTGGCAGCACATTGGTTTGAATTCCACTCTTGTCTTGTAATAGCGAGGCATTATTAAAAGTGCATACTCTTCACTGAATGTGAAGGATTGTAGTAAGCCCGTGTGGCAGAGCAAAGCATTGTGAATTGGTGACAAAGATACCATTTATATTTTGCCTGGAACTTTATGAAACCAAATTTTGCTACAAATTCAAAATCATGCCTTTATTTTATCCAGGACAGGTTCACTGAGTATCAAGATACTCAAGACTCAATTTCAGGAGTGCCCTGTACTGAAATGATGGGCTAATTCTATTATTCTGTTTAGCATGTGGAAAAAAACTGGAGTACCAGGTGATAACGCTTAAAACTTTGCACAGGCAGATTCAATACACATATACGATTAAACACTTTATTTTTATTTTACCAAATAAGGCCCACTGAGCTACATAGCTCTTTTCAGAAGCGACCTGGCCACAAACAATAGCTCAACGAAGTGGTTTACCATGTGGAAAAACCAAAGAACCCGGAGAAAACCCTACGCAACCATGGGGGGAACATGCAAATTCCAAATATACAGCAGGCGTCAGGGTCGGGTTCGAACCCACGACCTCGTGTATACCAGGCAAGGTAGTAAACATCCTTCCACCCCATACATTCAACCCATTGAGTCAATGTGTGGATTTAACCCTTTGCCATGGTGCAATCTCCTAGCCACCTCGCTGTCCTACGACGACAACATCCAAAACGCCCTGGAGATATCGCATTCGAATATACTACTAGCCTGGACAAACTCTGCTAAGCTTTTGATCTCATGCCATCTCAGAAAGATGGTTCAGCTATACCTAGCTGGTGCAGCTATGATCATTTTCTGAATTCCAATGAGATCCAATGCACCCGCTGTGCTTTTGATCGTGGTTTGGTCACAAGTGCCGTAATCACGGTTTTGTGGATGGCACGGTATTTTATTGAGCGTCCAAGACCTTTAACCCGCTCGGCTGCGGAGTGGCCACTAGAGGCCAGTACTGCAAAAGAGTTTCTGCGTATCGGTATGGATTTTTGAGAGCTAGCTTTCAGATGCCCTTCTGCGGCGGTCTGGAAAGCTCTTCCTTCCGATTATTAAGAAGCCACTGGAGTTACGTACTTTCAAGTAATCTAGATTGAAAGCTCTTTTTTTTAGAACTGATTTTTATGTTCAGTTTGTTGTCTTTCTTCCCCACCTCGGATTAGCACAGTTGGCTATGTACGGTGCGAAAGAAGTTCAACACACAGACATACATACATACAGACATACATGGTTTTACGTATACCTCTCGAAGCATGTCAGTTTCCTTCCATGTTGCAAGACATTCATTAGGAAAATGGCCAAACAACCCAATCTTGCAGGAACCTTTTGACAAACAACCCAGTGAAGCTTTCTTGGATTAATAAATGCACGTGATTATAATCGTATTATTTATCAACCGGGGAGCTGCCTGCTGTAATCACACTGGACTTGCAATCCAGAGGCAGCCCGTTCCATCATCCGGCTTGGCAGTCGAAACAGTCGGCAAGCCTTGAGACTTTAAATGAAAATTGTTATTAACGCCCCCTGCATCTGTCCACCCACCAGTTTAAATTGGTACACCACAGTCGATCGGCAAGTCACGTGCGATGGGTTAGAGTGGGGGTTACTCCCAACTCCCCCAAGACGTAGAAGAGAACGCCAAGACACCCTTCACGAGGTTGTTCTAGAGCTCGCTCTAGTGGAGGCTCTTTCGCCAGCAGCGGCGTGAGCCAGCAATTGCGGGGACTGCACCTTTACCGTCACCGACTGCCATCGGCTCCTTTCTGCGTTAGCGATGCCGTGCCGTATTCAGCGCGGCGTGGGCCACTCTCAGCCATCGTCCCACGTGGCCCACGACCGTCAGAGGGCAAATTATTGACGCGCACATGATGAACGAGCACGCCTGACGAAATGTCACCCGACGCGGCGCGGCAGGTGGTCCGGGTTCTCGGCAGCAGCATCTCCAGCCGGCTGCACCTGACCAACGTGCGCAAGCAGGACGAGGGCACGTACGAGTGCCGCGTCACCGACCGCCACGCGTGGCCCGCGCAGGAGCACAAGGCGAGGGCGGCCCTCACGGTGGAGATGGCGGGGGGCCGCCGGCGCCCGGGCGGGCCCCGGGACGTCCAGGCGGCCGAGGCCATGCCCCTCTTCCACAACGTCACGGCCAAGCGGAGCCCGGCGCGTCCCGCGGGGGCCCAAGGCGGAGCCTCCACACCCAACGCCAACGTCGGCCGCACGTCAGGCGAGTTAGGAACCCGAGTGCTCATCTCCATCATCATCATCAACTATTGCTTGATGTTGTGCATTACAAAATTTTGTCATTTTTTCCCATTAATATTGTGAGTGCATTGTCTCTCTATGAACGGCTCATTGAGTTTTAAGATTATTTTTGTTAAGGAGGGCCCTGCGAAGGTTTCACAATAGGGGGCAGCAATTATCACGCGTTTCCCATCTCAGTAATTTTTTAAGTTGGAAAAACATTTTGGACCGTAATATGGCCGCATGTTTTTTTTTTCTCAAATAGCATCGTGGGATGTTTTTGTTTACGTCCGCTGCGATGCAGACGTCTTGTATTTGCAGGGTTAGCGGACGCGCAATATTGACCAGGGTGGCCGTGGGCTTGAACTGCTAACCTCTGCAATAAGCTCGAAAACGTGCTTCTGCTGGGCCACGTTACTGCCCCAAAAACAAGTCTTGAAAACAATTCCCAAGGTAGTAGCAGGAACTTTAATCAGCAGAACGGTTAAAAGTACAGCATAAAACATATGTGTATACTAATGCACAGAACAACTCATGTTGAGCGACGTCATGGTAATCTGCAAATAAAAGAGTCAGTTTTCAACCGCCTCTTATATCGCGATACATTTGCAGAGGAAATTATATGATCAGGGAGCAAAATCCCGTCAGTAATTCTTAATTCGGTACGCGGATTCGCCAAAGTGTTCTGACGAGCCGCTCACCGCAAATTTCACACTGGAAGGCGAACGGGAGGGAGCCATCAAGTGGAGAGCTTCGTGTGCAATGAGGCCGATATTGAAATTTGCATCGTGCAGAAATTGATCCTCATGGCGGTACCCCGGGGTACCAAATAATACAAAATGGCCGAGGCAATTCAATATTTTATTTCTGGGACACTAGGGGTGTACTTAACTCCGCGACTGGGGTACCAATCAATCCGAAATCAGTACCACTACGCGATGCCGAAACGCAGCGAAGACGATTGCGCTGAAACCCTGAACGCTCGCGGTACGCACCTTGTGGTGCATCGTGTACAGCTCGTCGAGATGAGTCGATTGCCGCATCGCCGATCATCAACAGACTAAAAATGTCTGCATCACGGACATTGTACTATGGAACCCCGGGGTACCGCTATAAGGTTCAATTGGCTGCCAATGCAACTTTCTGAGTCACGCGGTCCCATTTGCAACGCCCTCGGAATCATCCCACCCGATGCGTTCTGTACACGTTGAAGAGGGCAGGAGGCTCCAGGAGGAGGGGTGGTGGTGGGGTAGGTTGCGATACAAGGAACACTCCAGCCAGGTGACACTGTGGTCAACGACATAAATCCACCAAAAGTCCGTTAGTGACAAATCCTGGTTGGTTGACGCTGCCTATTCATGAGACCTTTTTGCCAGTATCAAAATATGACGAATAAGAATGGGTTTTATCCTTTCTGGCAATAAAACAGGTGTGAAGATGTCCAAATATCAAATAGATACCTATTGCAAGGAATCAAGTGTGCATTAACCACACGTACTTGTGGTGAACATGCAAACAAACATGCTCTGAAAATATATGCATTGTTTTTCAAACATTTTTGATTGCCAGAAAGGGTAAAACCAATTATTGTTTTTCATGAAACCTATTTATTTTTAATGGGTTGATAAAAATGAAAACTACTTTGTGGGAAGTCCGCTGTGGTTATCACATGGAGGCACTGGCCCCAACCATGGGAATGTGGAATGTTAGCACTGGCCGATGGCTACCAATAGGAGATGAGGGCCATCCTTGTGTGCCACCTTAATGCAATACATAGAGACAACTGTGACTCTCATGAGAATATAGATTAAGTAATGTGGCTTTGCACAATGATAACATCCTATTCTTAAACCTTGGAAGTGGAGTATTACATCGCAGAGAATCACGAGAGGAGGCCTTCATCCAGCAGTGGATATATCACGGATGATGATGACGTTTCTCTATTCCTACATCACAATTGAATTTGTATGACATACGTACAAAGTTGGTGCTGTAGAATATTGAGTCGAGCGTGTCTCATGTCGGCCCCTTTGGGAAAGACCCGGGATGCCAGAATAGTGGAAGGTGAGCATCAAAAGACTAGGATTGAGAATCACAGCTGCAACACCTTTCCACCGGTGTCCCCCCCCCCGCCGCCTCCGCTCCCTACGGCCTTTATTAAGACGGGTGACTGCTCGCAATTAGATGCCAGAGCACGGCCGCGTTATCGGAGCGGGCGGTGCTTCTCAAGCCCGCGCCGCCCTCCTGCGGCACTACTTGAGGTATCTCGTTCCGTGAGCGCGCCGTGCCCCCCCCCCCTTCGCCTCTTGCTCAAGAGGTTATAGCTCAATTACAGAGCGCTCATTCCACGCGACTGCACTCGCGCCATCAGTATGCCGGAGAGAGGTGCACTTCTACCCCCAACGCCACCCTGTCCCCCTCCTTTCACTCCCGCGGCGTGGTGCCTTGAATCCCAAACTGAGCGGAGGCCCGGAGACTGCGGTGGAAACTCTCCGACTGCAAAAAGGGGGCTTAGGGTTGTTTCGTGTTACGTGGGGTTAAATGACTCGCCATGATTCAGTGTTGCAATGAAATTCCAGAATAGATTATATGTTGTTGTTGTTATTGTATCGACTGGTAGTGGGCCTCTGGTGGCTGCAAACATGACGTGAGCCCCATTACATAGAATGTGTACCGGTCTAAACAACACGCACACACAATTTAGCGCATGTATCGCGTGCTTAAGAATTCGGGACATTGTTCCACCCCTATTGTAAGGGGTGGGTTAGCGATATCGTTTCAGGTCAGTTAATGTTATGCTTCAGAGTGGGTTTGTATTCCCGTCTGTGGGTGGGGGGGGGTTAATTTCGACAACACTGAAAGGTCATGTAAGAAGGAGTGGTACTAATACACGCAAATCGTCCCACTGCTTTAAATTGCAAGGAATGTCGTTGGTGTCATTATTTTGCTGCAATTAAATGACATTTGTAGAGTTTAAAAGACAAAGAAAAAAGTTTTGGCATCATTATCTTACTCTTTCAGAATTGCAAGGGAAATTGCTCATTAGCATTCAAATAAACATGAAATGACAGTTGGATGATCGTCGTTATACTGTCTTCCAGCTTGATTTGACACGTGAAGTGTTTGCTTTTTTAACACGATCGTTTAATGCATGCGAATGTATATGAGGTGGTGGCGCAAGTTGCTAGCGCACCACACTATGAATTCATAAACTCGAGTTTGATGCCTGCCCATGGATTATATCAGCGGTGAGTGATATCCTGACTAGTCCTAGTCTTCTCCTTCACCAACCTGTGCCGACTATAGTGGTGAAGTATGGTCAAATAGCCTGACACGAGGTGAGGAAGCCTTCACCCAGCAGTAATTGACAAAGGGCTGTCCACTATGACAACAATACTACTCCCTGAGTCTCAAGACTCTATTATCAGTGCAGTGCAGCATGATAATTAGATGTTTGACCAATTCATTATTAAAGAGGGTTTTATTAATGCAATGCATTAATCAAGTTGCCTTTGTAAATTTGGACTTTCAAATGATTTGACCTGAAACTTTCTTGGGGGGGATGGGAGGAAAAAAAAACCTCTTAAGCGTTATGATTCCATCGAAAAAGAAAAAGCTGAAACCATCGGTAAAAGAACCAGGCAGGACGAAGCCTTCAGTAAGCAAATTGAAACGCATTGAGCTGAAGCGACGCCACCTGACACGATCATTGTTGACATTGCCGTTATTAAATGTGTAGTGGATTCAAATGAGTCGCAGACATACTCTTTAGAGGCAACACATTTATGTATACCAACCCAAAGGGGTAACTGCCCCTTCACCAGATAACAACCTGTGGTGGTGGACCATCAGGCTAACTACACTAATTACACTGGGAGTCGCTTGGGTCCAGGTAGATCTTCAGGATGACAACAGAAACACTGAACCCCGGTCCCTCTGGCTTATATCCTCACGGCTCGTGGCTAGCCCCGTCCTTGGCCACAACCACCTTCTCGAACCCTCTAGCAGGATCTCGCCCGACACGTGACCACCGCTAGCCCCCCCCCCCCCCCCCCCCAGTGTAGACTTTACCCGTCACGTGCCTTCCAGGGTCAACTAGAGTGCCATGGCCTACATGAACCCCATTCATGGCCAGTACTCTCACACCCCTCTCCTATAGCGGTTGGCACTGCACGCCGAGCGTGGTGCCACTCAGCTCTATGACTCGGCGCTCACCGAGCCCCTGTAGGGCTGGTACTACACCCACATGTACGGGGTGTCCGTGATGTGAATACATCGCACGCCGTGCCTCGCTAGAGCCGGCATTACCCAGTGACGTCCCCGATGTCACTACAAATGCATCAATGCAAAAGACCCCGAGCAAAACAATAAAGATGATGCGAGCGAAGTCAACACAACTCGGACTAAAAATGAAGGCCGAAGCGTGGCCGTACTAATTATATACACAGACTACGATGCCCAGCATCACGGCACAATAGGTCGTGTTCAAACAAGGCGTGCACAGCCCTTTTGAATGTTGGCCTCCCCGCGCCACGCCTCTCACTGGGGTTGTTTGACCATACTTCACCACGCTGGTCAATGTGATTTGGGAGGGTGTGATTTAGTGAGCAGGATTCGTTCAGATGTCACTTGCTACCGATGGCAGGCGGTGGCCCCGGAATTGAATTCAAGTCACACGGGTTCATGGCAACACCGTGCGCTAACCGCTGCGCCACCGCTCCAACCCTGAGCCGACAGTGCGCGCGTTGTTTTAATTTATTTTCTTCTCGCTTGGCAGGTGGACCGAGGACATGTCCAAGGCAACACATCCTGCTTGTGAAAGCTGCCCTCATCTTAGCCGCCCAATATTTTGTAATACATGCAAAGTAGCACAACGCTGTTCACGGTGTGAGACTTAGAAAGTAGACAGGTTCTTTTTTTGTGAAATCATTTTTCTATTCACGTGATGGAGAGAGAAGCAGTTGAGCAAATGCGTTCCACCATAGTAGTAAGAGACGAAATATATATTCTTGTTTCAGCATGGGGCGAATGCACTCACAACACAGCTCTTAATCAGCTTCCCATGACGTGGAATCGACTGCCATGGACAGAAACCATCAGTCACGCTTAATTTTATATATTGTAATTAAACTGTCAATTTAAATTAATGAGCCAAGGGCGCAAATCTATGACCACCAATGTTAAGGTGGTCGTAAACATATATAAAATAAAATACTGTGTGTGTATATAGAGAGAGAGAGTTTAACTTATTCTGGAATGACACGGACATTTATTAAAAGAAATGTTCACCAAAAAGTGAGATTTTGGCGCTGAAATATAAAAAAGATTGTCGTTTATTCTCTCCCCTCCCGTATGAATTAAGGTACATTCAGCCAAAATCCATAGTTTATTTCGCAATGTTTTTTTCAAAATTATATTTAAACACGCGCACACACAGACACACACACACATACACACGTGTACATATTTACTGCGTAAACACGAATTTCTACGTCATAAACACACAACGCACACGTATGCGTACGCACATGTGTATATTTGTACACGTTACCATGGTGGCCCACACACACACCGATCCACCCTCAGTGTGATCCGCCCAATCTGCCAAACTTAATGCAGTCTCTATCCCCCTTGCGGTCCAAAACAAACGTCCCAATTTTGAATGCACTTGGCCGCGCGTCTGATCGTAACAGTGAGCAAATTTGCGCATGCGGGTACATGCCCATTGGATCGCAGCCAAAGGTTCAATTACAAACGCTCCGACCGGTTCGTGCAATGAATCACGGCGGAAGAGCGTGCGTGTAAAAAGGGATGAACAGCCGGTCTGTCGAACAGCTGACAAGCAAAGATGAATGCATCACAGGTGAATCTTCGCTGAGTTGAACTCAAAATCGCAGCACAATTTAAGTTGGTTAAAAGTGTAAAGTTTGAATACAGCCGTATCTTGATGAACTTGATTTCACCAAATGTGAACCCTTCTTTACAATGTGACATCCACCATATTTCGGACACTGACTCATGCGACGTATATCAAATAAACTATATGTTGTCTGTAAGCAAATCTACGCGAGGTATGTGTCTTTTTTCTCTGCGCGTTTTTTCTCTCTCCGTCCGACGCAACACGTGCGTTCTCCAGAACGTAGTTTGACGTTCTCTGAGTTTTAAATTCCGCGGTGTGGACAGCACACTGTGGTCACGACATCAACACGGCCTTGCCGACATTCAGGGGTTAGTCATGAAATGTTTACTCTCGTGATTTGAAGCTTTCGTGACTGCAGGAATTACTCTTTGGTTCTTTCGGTAAAGTCACATAGAAAGAAAATAAATTAAGATTACAAGAACACAGGATGAGATGTTACTATCCTTTGTGCAAGCACTTCCAAGAGTTCATGAACAGTGAGCCTGGTGAAATTTGGGGAGCGCATCGTCAGTAGTGTACCTTTGGTTCCTAGGGTGTTTCGGCCTTTCATACTATACACCCTCCCCAAAGGCGGCCAGCGACAGGGTGATCAATCCTCCGCTTGCGTCCCATGCCCAATTAGTCAAAGGAGTTGCCTTGTTGTTGATAGCCAACATCTCATTCATTCTTTTGTTTTCTCATTCATTCTTATGTGATGACGGTTGCTTGTGTTGCAATCGAAACGTCGTATTATATTACTTAATTTCTTGTCTTTCTACGTGACTTTACCGAAAGAACCAAAGAGTATATCTCTTGTGTGCGGAGGTAAGGGAGTGGAAACACAACTCACTCCCACCACCACCACTGCGCCAATATGTTGAACTTCTTTCGCACCGTACGTAGCCAACCATGCTAATCGGAGGTGCAGGGAAAGAGTGGCGGGGGAGGAGGGGAGATCGCTAATGTTGCCTCCTTGAAAGTTACCGATTTCCCGCGGTGTGTTTGAAACGTGCGGCACCTCGCGAGACGTGGTGAACACGTGGGACTCGATGACTCTCTGTGTACGGCGGCAGAGTCGTGATTAGGGGGTGGCCGTGCTTCAGGGCTGTTTAAAGCAATTGAAGAGGCCACAACGCGGCTCCGAGGGCCGTGCTTGAGAGCAACCCAAGCTCTGATTCACAGAGCCCTGGTGGGGGAACCACAATGCTCGTTCCACTCGCGGCCACACGTTGTAACCTGGCGCGCGAAGTGGCACCGGTAATTGTCGACTAATCAATGTTCCAGACACCGCTCGCTCAACCTGCTCGCTCAACCTGCGCGCTTAACTTAACGCTCCCTTTCATGTGCGTTGTGCTCAATAAACTATTCGGCGAATAAATCAATCAAGCAACTGTCCGTTTAACAAACGTTGCGTTCACATTCTGACATGTCTTGTACAAGCGTAGAATGGCAGAAAATGCCCCGAGTTAATGAGTAAAAATTAATGTATTTGTCACGCGGACAATTTTTATTTACTTTGCCACTTCAATTCAAACTAATTAAACGACTAATAATTTCAAATAAAATTAACGAAATACCGACGGCTTGAGAAACACAGTTTTTGAACACTCTACTAAAAACCACACAAAATCGAAAAACATTCGCTCAAGTAAGACTCGTTTACAGGGTCGTCTTTGAGAACAGCTCACGAATAAAGTTGCAGTTGCTGCAGTGTCTCTGCGCGCAAGGATCGCACACACTTTCGCGGACGCTGCATTCAATATGCAGAGGGCACAAGCGGAGTGATATCTTCCAGAAAAATCTTTGAGTACAAACTAAGCAGTCCACTCGAGCGTGCCGGTGAGTATGTTTCCTGCGTTGGAGCGCAAATTGTCAACTCTCAAAAGACTGGAGCCGGTTACCTTTGCGGTCTGTTTGAAACTGATTGCAATTGCTTTACGACACGCGCTTTGGAGCAACCTTGCAAGCAAGCGTCTGCCTTGAGCCCGTTTCGCACCTGCAGTGAATGCGAGACGTGTCCTCGTGAGCACCCCTTGCCTCCCTCCGCAAAATCGGCTCACGAGCAGCATATGTGCATTTCAGCAGAACCGCTCGCACAAACCAGCCTAAGGGTAAGCATATGTCGATACATCCGCCGCTTGAAGGTAACGGACACGAGCTTAAATCTAACCGTTCCGCTCATCCTTATTCCACTCGCCTCCACCAAATCCCCCTTCCGAGTCCTAAAATAATGTCCCACCCAATTCTCTCTATTCAAGACATCCCACGCCTGCCACCACAGCTTTTGCCCAGTCGCTGCAACTGCCCTACAAATTATCATCAACAAAGGAGCGCCACATTCACGTGTATTTGGTTGTGGTCTCGCGAAATCAGATATGACATTTTGATCTTACAGACGATACAGATCCATCCAGGTGCACTTTGTCAAATGGGCCCCTTTTTTATGCAACACCTAAACCACCTGACCCCATACTGGTTAATGCCCAGTGCGTATGTAATATGTCAATGGGCATGGATTTAGCTTCAAATATTTCCAATGGAGAAAATTACCAACTCTTTCAGCACAACATGTACAACGGGAAGAAAAATAGCATCCATACAGAAGTTGATGTGGCAATTCATCTTGCGCATTTTGTTTGTGGAGCCACACTGGGATGTGCGATTACGATTATCTTCATGATGTGCCAACCGTAGAGGCATCGTGTTGCGAATGTATGTGTAGTGACATAGGACGTCACTACTGTGTTGGCCCGTACGAGGGCTGGGGGCCCCAAGGGGGTGCCTGGGGGGTCACGTGGTGGAGGGACCCAGACCTTCCCGTGAGGTGGGGGGAAGGGAGGCGTGGCCTGGGAAGGGAGGCGTGGCCTGTGGAGAGCCGGCCACGCCTGGGCGGATATAAGCGGGGTGTGGATGCAGAGCGGGGCTGTTGAACTCCGAAGTGAAGACGACATCATCGGTCCTCAAGTCCCGGGTCGTCGTCCTGGACCAGGCAGCCCGTTGCCTGCCTGGTCCACTCTGTGTAGTGTCCCAGAGTGTTAGTGAGTTGAGGAAGGTGGTCACCACCTCATGTACAGTGTTATATTACTTACCGTTTTAATAAAGTATTGCCTCAAAGCTGTGTGTGTGTGCACCTAATTCGAACCCACTACACATGCACCGGAGCAAGGCACTGACCCCGAGTGTTTAAACCTCACACCCTGGTTTTGTCCCGTTCCACACGGTCCCCACGACAAAAGAAAGCAGTGCGTGCGTGTGTGTGTGCCCACATTATCAAGGAGCGACGCTCACAACAACGAGCGCAGTGCCGGGTGGCTAAAACGCAACAAAGGTGTCACAGTGGGGAGCACAGGTGGCGCATCTGCCAGTCATCTTAGTCAGTTTAACACGTAGGCTTTGGCGACCAATATTATTCATAATGAAGGTTTTTGGGTCAGATCGCGTTATTTATAAATGTGTCGTAACCCTCCACCACCCGACACGGCCAAACAGTAAAAAATGTGTCACGTTTTTCAAAGGAAAAATAATTCACTTCTTTAGCCCACCGGTGTGTTGAAGAGAGAATCAACAACATTTTAAAATTTGAGTAGCACGACGTTTCGCTGATAATTACAATCAGCTTCATCGGGCAAGAATGGTGAAGCTCTCCTGTTGCTTCCGGTCTTAAATAGAGCAGCATCAGGGTGACGTCATCATTGTTTACTGTGTGGCCGTGTCGGGTGGTGGAGGGTTACGACACATTTATAAATAACGCGATCCGACCCAAAAACCTATATTATGAATCATCTTAATCAGTTGACCCATGGCACTTGCGTCTGTCCGATGACCTGCCAGCAAGCCTTTGACACTTCACGTAGCCTCAAAGTGCACCGAGCCTGGCACAATCACCATGGTTACGTCACCACCACTTAGTGGTGAATGGCGGCTGTTGATGTTGCCTGCCTTGTATAGTTTTAGGGGTACATCTCCACACATCTGGCTCACTCGAAAAATCAACGTTAGCCTGCCTGAGCAACTTGCCAAAGCGCTTTCCTAATCGTTGCTATAACTTACTCTTGCATTTTCGAAGATACAGTGATACCTTGGTTCACGAACGCTTCTGTTCACGAACAGCTCGGTTCACGAACAACTCGGTTCACGAACAGAAAATTTCATAAAAATATGCTCCGGTTCACGAACTCCGCTTCGGTTCACGAACAGGAGCCGCGGCCATTTTAATGCTATTTCCAGGCTGTCACGTGGTCGTGACTTCCTGTAGGAAGATCGTGGAGAGAAGAAGAGACATAGAAAGCAGTACTGTGAGTACTGTGAAGACACTTTCAGTGACTTTTTGATTTTTGGTGTGCTTTTTATTACATACAGTACTGTACTGTACTACTGTACTGTACAATACTGTACTTACTGTATTGTACAGTTCACCCGTTTGAGTGCTTACTGTCTCCCACCCGCCTCCCACCTGCCTTCCTCCATGCCAGAAGTCATCTCAAGCAAGGTTAGTGTTCTCTCTTTATACATTACTATACTGTACAGTACTACGGTAATGTGTATTGTCATTTGTTTCATATTTTTGTGCTTCAAAAACCAAAAAAGAAAGGTCAGAACGGATTAACCGGATTTACATTGAACCCTATGGGAAAATGTGCCTCGGTTCACGACCAATTCGGTTCACGAGCAGTCAGTTCACGAATTAAGTTTGTGAACCGAGGTATCACTGTACAAAAATATATTTGTGGAATTGTCTGTTAACATAATGTTGCTGACAGCAGTCCGATCTGTCAGTCAAGACCACGCGGTCATATACTTGACCTGCCAGTCCGTTGCCATAAGACCCAACCACAAGAGACCACTCTATGAGTCTAAAGAAAGCTCTGATCAGAGATCGCTGTCAGTACGTTGTTCCAAACGCCTTTCGAATAATGTTCTGATGGCAAGAGATATAAATAAAGGCAACTCCAGCTGTGTTAACATATTACTGTATTCTACAATTGCTGCCAATTACGCATTTTCAGGGAGAAAGCTTGTTAGTTTATAATTGGAAATGCAGAGTGAATTGGAACAAAGAGTAGCTCCGAATATGTAAAATTAACGTACAGGCTGGGTAGAATGTAAAAGGATGCGTGGGTTGAATGAGCTTTCCAAACAAGCGGAGACTACACATCACCCATTTCACAAGTAATTGCAGGTCCAAGTAGCGCAATAATAGATTTAAAACCCGATAGAGAAATTAGAGATGCTGCTCTCTCTCTCTCTCTGTATATAATGAGTGGTCCATAGTTGTTGCTAAGAGTTCCAACTGCCAGAACAGCTTCAACATGTGCACTAGAATGTACTTACCACGTGGGTTTTCGCCTGCCAATATCACGATTTATACTTGATTTCTGGGTTAGGCCAGGGTCGGTTTCTTCATTAGAGCGATTGGGCGACGCACCACCAATGTCATTCAACCACAGAGTTTCGCGAGCCGTTACTGTGCCTCTGGATATAGTCCAATCAGCGTCATGTCACGTTCTGTGGAGTACCGCCTCTTTTTGGGCGATTTCACTCCGGCTGAGAATCGCCCAGAGTGTTCCCATAGACTTACATTCAAAGATGTTTTTTTTCGAACGGCGGGCGCTGCAATGCATTCTCTATGGCTTCCGGGAGGGCTCGCACTAACGTGCTTACGTCATCATACGTAAGCACGTTTCATCCAACAATATTATTTGTCGCCACCTAGTGGAATCTTTAATAAAAGAAACTGAGTGGATTGTATTAATAGTGAGTATAGAAACAAACAAGATGTATTGTAAGAGTCACTTTATTTTTCATTAATATTAAAGAAGTGAAGTTGCCTTTACATGCTTAAGCTGTTAATTTATCTATTGCATGGGTGGACCTTATCCTTATCAATCATCCAGACATTTGCCCCCCCTGAGAGATTTTGCAGGAGCCGCCACTGGGTTAGGCCACAGGTTATTCTATGGACAATTTATTTTCCGCATTACCATCTAACACGAGACGTGCCCAAATAAATGTTTCTTTGTTTTTAAAGAGCATTTAACGCGCCAGCTATTATTGTTTCCGCTCACCGGTAAGTTGAAGAACTGCTCACATAATTTATTAATGCGCTTGAGATTCTTTGTCAACCTTGCCGGGTGAGCTGAAAGCAACCGACGCGTTGTTAATCGCTTGTTACGCGGCTACGTTTGGGTAGTGGAGGGTAACGCAACAAAGATTTGGCCAGATCATTTACGTTGTCTCACCCAAAGTGCTGTATCGGGTTTAGGGTGCCTTTCAAAGTTTAAGAGCATTTCACTATTCTGAGAGCATAACCCACCCACAGCGAGGCGAATTTAAAAATACGTCACTCATAACCGTGACCCAGATGTGTTTTGTTGAGTCAGCAAGCTGACAAAAAAACTTCTTTGTAAACCTATTTTGCCAATGCTCATCTTGCAAAAACAAGTAATTTTTCACACACGCAAAAAAATACTTGTATAATACAGGGGGACCCTCAATATATGAACCTTATGGCGGGACTCCGGGGTCCCATATGCCCCCGGCTCTTGCATAAACTGCGTTGCGACGTCATTTCATGTCTGTTGAAGGCGAACGATACGGCGATCTATTCCTCTCGACGAGCTCTACACGATGCGCTAATCAAAGTTGTGTTTCTTCTGCGCATTCGTCCTCGCGCTGCGCTTGGACGACATCAGAATGATCCGCGCCAGGTAGAAGGTCGCGGAGTTTATGTGCGCGGTGGGACGGAGTCGCCAAAATAAATAAATTCATTAAGATTTTGACTTTTATTCGGGACCCTGGGGTCCCGCCATGAGGTTCATATCACGCAGAAAAAAAAACAAATATCTAATCAGCGAACTGCGTGGTTGTAATATTTGCCAAAATTATATATTCCTTTTTTACTCAAAAGCTTGAGTGATTTTCAAAAGCACTTAACAGAAAAATTCCAAACAATCGCTACCGAAGTGAGGCTGAACCCCTTGGCCTTTCTCAAATCTCGATGTGATGTGCATCACCGACGCATTGGCACAAATTTGGATGTATAGAGGGAAGAGACTCGCATGATAACGCTTATACTGCTGCCCAGTGCGTGTGTGTGTGTGGTTTTAATGACCTTAGCCCTCCAACAACAACGGAGGGCAGAGGAGCGACGCTCACAACAACGAGCGGAGCGCCGGGTAGCTAAAGCACAGGTGGTGCATCAGCCAGTCGTCTCAGTCAGTCGACCTGTGGCACCTGGGTCTGCCCCATGGCCTCCTGCAAGCGGGCGTTCGACACTTCACGTGGCCTCAAGGTGCACCTAGCCTGGCACAAGTGTCGTGGTGACGCCACGGCCACTTAGTGGCGAATTGCGGTTGTTGTTGTTAATGACCTTAACGGTCGTCATTGATCTCTCTCAGTTGGCATGACGGGCACCAAATGAATGAAAGAATGACCTATCTCAAACTGCTGCCTAACTGTAATGCTGTAATAGTGGACATGATAGATGTACAGACATCCTGTCCGAGTGCTGTCGACTTTTCACCTTGTGAGTGCCGTACAGCCTCGCAGCATGACGCGTCGTCGTCATCGTCGTTTTTTCTTTCTTCTTTTTTCAACGGAGCCGGGAATGGATGATGGGGACGAGCGGTCATTAGACATTAGCAAGTCTGGCAGTGGCTTTCTCGTTTCTGGCACGACCACAACACCAGCAGACGTTGCGTTTGCCATTCACTTTATTTTACGTCTGTCAGCAACCTCCCACTTGGCCCGACAATTCCGTTACAACGATTTTCACAACCACGCCGAGGTTTAATTCTAAATGATAACGTATTGCGGTATAGAGCTGCAATGTGTGTGTGTGTGGTGCCATGTTGCATGTGCTCGTGTTTAGGTAGCGGCTAGCTCTTTGTTTTGAAATTGACTCACAATTGATTGAGATAAATGTTGTTGTTTCTTGGCCAGAAACAAAACCCGAGGTTTTAGTTTCACATATGCTCTTACCCGCACCGCCGAATTAGCACGGATGGCTACGGGCCGTGCGAAAAAAGTTCAACATCCTTACCCAGTCAGCTACAACCATCGAGTTCTGTAAGATATTGCTTAACGATTCTGGCAAATCGCCCGATGATGCTGGATGTAATTACCAGCGAAACGTCGTACTCAAATTGTAAGTGTTGTGGATTTACTCTCCAACACACCGGTGGGCTGAAGTAGTAACTAATTGGCGCGTTTTGTTTATGCAACAAACCTTGCTGGCCGTGTCGGGTGGTGGAGGGTTACGACACATTTATACTTACGCGATCTAACCCAAAAACCTTTATTATGAAAAAAAAAGTTTTACGCACAGCGAATGCGTGCAATAAGATATTTCAGAACGCTGTGGCAGGCTGGATGCCAATGTACGTCGCTTAGTTTGTTTTGTCTGCCAATTGATGAATGTCGAAGAAAAAAAACCCAAAAGGGCTTTTAATAAAATACAGATTTACCATCGCGGAGTTTCACAATGTGTGCGTTTACCAAAGCCACAAATTAAAAACCTTGAGAGCGTGTTGAACGAGTCACCGGATAAATCTTGACGTAAAGCTTTCGTGACGACAGGAATTCATATTCTTTGGGTCTTTCGGTAAAGTCACGTAGATAGGTTCCAAGAAAAAAAATAACAAAAAAACTACGACGTTTCGATCGCAACGAAAGCGGTCGTCATTTTTTTGATTTCTGTTATTTTATTTGAACCAATCTACGTGACTTTACCGAAAGACCCAAAGAATATGAGTCACCGGATATCAACGGACCATTCCCGCAGTTAACATCCGAACCTCCAACATCACACGGCGCATTCTACAAACGACAATTGCCGAGTGAGCAGTTCACGATCTGACACTATTGTAACGAGTCACATTGTAAGTGTATTGCTAAGGCACTATGTTAAGAGAACCGACAGGGGGCCAGGAATTTATCGTAAAGCAAATACAATGTACATTCAAAGGTGATACATTGTGCACGGTACTGTCTAAACGTAAATGTTAACCTTACCTCTAGTTACTTTTAAAGTAATAGTCGAAAAAGCATCATGTAATAACCATATTGGCTGAAACCTTTTCAAAATATGTTTTCTTTAAAACACATATATACATTATGAGCATTCAGAATATATAGCATACAGATGCAAAACATATGCTGTGTTCATGTTTACTGCATTCATATAAACACACGCATATGTGTGTGTTTATTATGTGTGTGCGTGTATTATAAATAAAGAGGGCAGCAGACTATACTATAAGCCTCGTGACCTGAGTTTGACTCCCGGCCACGGTTAACATCAGTGGTGAGTGAAATGTATATGTACTGCTCCTGTCCTCCCATCATCACCAAACCAGCGTGGCGAAGTATGATCAGACAACCTCAATGACTAAAATGGCACGGGGAGATTTGATCCAGGAGCAGAGAGAGCGATGTACGTTATTATTAGTATTACTACAATCTTGATTTGAATATAAATGTGTCGTAAGTATTACTACAGTGACAAAGTAATTTTGCATACATATATTGACAGATTCGAATGCAACCCAACACATTAATTATCATTGTGCTCCTGCAATTAATAACTCAGTCTGCAAACTCTGCTAGATGTCAATAATAAAACCAACAAAACTCGACTGCACGGCACTTTCAATCCACCCCTCTTCTACACGACGTTGCCCATTAACCAAAATCGCCGCAGACGTGAAACCGCAAACACGCTGCCTGCGCCCGACTCCCGCGGGGAGCCCACGGGCGCCAGCGTCTCCCGTCGGCTCCGCGGCGTCGATCACAGCACCGTCTCGTGCTCACCGCTGGCCTTGTCCGCCGGCGCCGCGGCCGGCACCACCGGGAGGGCCCCCCCCCGTCGTGTCCTCGGCGAGCGGCGGCAGCGCCACTGGTGCGCGCCCGCCGCTCGCTGCGCCTGGCAGCCCTCCGGCGCCATCAGCGGCTGCCGCTCCTGCCGCTCCACGGCGCCGTCGCCCTCCTCGTCCTCGGGGTCGCCGTCGGGACGCGCCGGCACCGCCCGTGGGTCTGGGCGAGGGCCGACGGCTAGCGGCGGCGGCGGCGGCGGCTTGGCGCCGTTGAGGCTCTCGATGGAGGACGAGAAGCTCTGATGCCAGGTGGGCACCGTCTTGCCGGCGCTCTCCGACACCACGGCGGCCACGGCGGCTTCGGCCGTCGGCGAGAGCTGCCCGTGAGGGGCCGGCGCTCGCCAGGGCGGCTCCCGCTCGAACAGCGTCGGCGGAAGAGGGCGGCTGCTCCCGGGGGCTGCTGGCCATCGGCACCGAACCTGGGCAGGGTGCATCGTGCCGACGTGGTGAGTCGCGTGGGTCGAGGCACGGCCACGTCGCAATGCCCGAGCGTGTGACTACCGCCACGGCGTCCGAGTGCGCCTCGCGCTGCGCGGGGGCAGCTGGAACTGGAGGTGCCCTCGGCTAGACTGGAGCATGACATCGGAATGGTTGAGATAAGACTTGGAAAACTGAGCATTTTGATTTCCTGTGGCATTTAAGCAAGCATCCTATAGACGCTTATGTTTCAATACTTACTGTTATCGAGAAAATATAACCGCACATAACTCTCTTGGTTGTCTTGATAAATGCACTGTGAAATCTGCCCTGAGAATCTTAGTATTTTCTCGCGCATTATTCTTATGGAAATCTGCCAAAAATTATGCAAGCAGCCACTTTGTTTTGACTTTTTGTAAAAAAAAAACTATGGAAACTCATGCCTTGCATGAATACTACCACAGTAGTATTCAAATGGATTCGTAAATGCTAATTCAACGAAATAATAATACTATTTCAGCATCGTTAATATCATGACAATATTACGGCGCGGTATTTACACTTGAGAATTCTAATTCGCTAATACTTGGAAAAAGATTGGTTGGAGGTCTATTGCTCAGAAATTGTATCGTCGTCATAAGCCAAGATCACTGCTGGATGAAGGGCCTCCACATGCGTTGCCATCCCTCAGTCCTGCAATGGAAGCCATAATCCATCTCTCTCCCACACATGAACTAATCTCACGACTCCATCTCTGATGCATTTACAGTGAGTGAAAAAAATATTTGATCCCCTGCTGATTTTGTACGTTTGCCCACTGACAAATGGTAGGTTTATTTATACTGGTAGGTTTATTTATACAATAATGGTAGGTTTATTTATACAGTGAGAGACAGAATAACAACAACAAAAATCCAGAAAAACGCAGGTCAAAAATGCTATAAATTGATTTGCATTTTAATGAGGGAAATAAGTATTTGACCCCCTCTCAATCAGAAAGATTTCTGGCTCCCAGGTGTCTTTTATACAGGTAACAAGCTGAGATTGGGAACACTCCCTTTAAGAATGTGCTCCTAATTTCAGCTCGTTGCCTGTATAAAAGACACCTGTTCACAGAAGCAATCAATCAGATTCCAAACTCTCCACCATGGCCAAGACCAAAGAGCTCTCCAAGGATGTCAGGGACAAGATTGTAGACCTACACAAGGCTGGAATTGGGCTACAAGACCATCGCCAAGCAGCTTGGTGAGAAGGTGACAACAGTTGGTGCGATTATTCGCAAATGGAAGAAACACAAAAGAATTGTCATTCTCCCTCGGCCTGGGGCTCCATACAAGATCTCACCTCGTGGAGTTGCAATAATCATGAGAACGGTGAGGAATCAGCCCAGAACTACACGGGAGGATCTTGTCAATGATCTCAAGGCAGCTGGGACCATAGTCACCAAGAAAACAGTTGGTAACACACTACGCCGTGAAGGACTGAAATCCTGCAGCGCCCGCAAGGTCCCCCTGCTCAAGAAAGCACATATACATGGCCGTCTGAAGTTTGCCAATGAACATCTGAATGATTCGGAGGACAACTGGGTGAAAGTGTTGTGGTCAGATGAGACCAAAATGGAGCTCTTTGGCATCAACTCAACTCGCCGTGTTTGGAGGAGGAGGAATGCTGCCTATGACCCTAAGAACACCATCACCACCGTCAAACATGGAGGTGGAAACATTATGCTTTGGGGGTGTTTTCCTGCTAAGGAGACACGACAACTTCATCGCATCAAAGGGACGATGGACGGAGCCATGTACCATCAAATCTTGGGTGAGAACCTCCTTCCCTCGGCCAGGGCATTGAAAATGGGTCGTGGATGGGTATTCCAGCATGACAATGACTCAAAACACACGGCCAAGGCAACAAAGGAGTGGCTCAAGAAGAAGCACATTAAGCTCCTGGAGTGGCCTAGCCAGTCTCCAGACCTTAATTCCATAAAAAAATCTGTGGAGGGAGCTGAAGGTTCGAGTTGCCAAACGTCAGCCTCGAAACCTTAATGACTTGGAGAAGATCTGCAAAGAGGAGTGGGACAAAATCCCTCCTGAGATGTGTGCAAACCTGGTGGCCAACTACAAAAAACGTCTGACCTCTGTAATTGCCAACAAGGGTTCTGCCACCAAGTACTAAGTCATGTTTTGCAGAGGGGTCAAATACTTATTTCCCTCATTAAAATGCAAATCAATTTATAACATTTTTGACATGCGTTTTTCTGGATTTTTGTTGTTGTTATTCTGTCTCTCACTGTTCAAATAAACCTACCATTAAAATTATAGACTGATCATTTCTTTGTCAGTGGGCAAACGTACAAAATCAGCAGGGGATCAAATACTTTTTTCCCTCACTGTAGATTACGTTTTGCTAAAACATCGGCGTTATCCATTTGCAACATAATTCATGCAGAGCGTTGTACTGAAAATGTGAAATTGAATGTTTTCAAAAATGCCTTAACCTTTTGTTGTAAATGTCTTGAATGTTATAAGGCTGTCTCATACCCTTGCAAAAATGATTAGTGGATAGCTGCTTATAGCACACCTTCTTTTTTGTTTCCCTCTTTTTTGGCAGCAAATAAAAAAAAAATGACACGAAGCTGAATCTGAAAATAATCGGGGTCTGCTTCTACTGTTGAAACATTGCAAGGTTACAAAGATTGAAATTTCCTAAGTCCGTACGATTTCGTTGTTAATGGTTTGAAATGTTTCCTGTTCAGGGTTCACATGACACAGCCCAGTTAATATTTTTTTAAATAACAACTAGCAACCTATGTGTATCTTGAACATGACCGTCCATCCCTCCAGCCATCCAGCGAAAGCTTTTCTTAATATAGCAGCCTGCACATCCGTTGGACGTGACCGTCTGACAGTCCGTCCCGTCCGTCCCGCCCACATGGCCAGCCAGGCAGCCAGGTATGAAGCCAGCCAGCAAAACTTGTTTTCTAAAATAGTATGATAACCCTATGTATGAAAAGCCTTTCATAAAGAATCTCAAAATGCTGCAGAAGACACAATAAAAACGAAGACATTGTTAAATATAAAAAATGAACACTAAAATCCATTTGATTAATTAGAGATAAGTTGAATAAACGGAAGTGTGTAGATACGATTTAAGATGAGGTCTTGAAATGTCCACAGACACACAGATCCTGATATCCCATTTACAGCAGTTGGCCAATCTGCTGCCAGAGGAAGACCTCCTCCCACGTGGTGATTGTTGGGTTATGGGTCGTTGTTTGACCATACTTCATCACGTTGGTCACTGCGGGTTGGTGAAGTGGAGGGCATGCTAAGTACCACTTCAGACATCAGGCACCACCCGATGGCACTGGTGTTAGCCGTGGCAGGGAATCACACTTAATGTTTCCTGGCTCATGTAGCGGTGCATTAACCACATTGCCACCATTCCAATGGCAGTAATATTTACGTGAATTATAACTGAAACAAAAACATACACATTAGGTAATGACACATTATGGATGTGCAAATGTCATGCTTTGCACTATAAAATTCCACTTATTAACGTGGAAACACAGCCATCAATTTGATTACATAATGACAGCATAAGATACACTTCCGTAATATTGCCTTTAAAGAAACAAATATATTTAACAAAAATATCGAGTAATGGTCCTCCTTCATAGCCATGTGCTATGAAAAAAATCCACTGCCCAAAAAGTCGCCAATAATACAGTTATTTATTTTAATGCAGTGCCCTTTACGGACGTATTCAGTTTGTTTCGTTAACTGTGCTTGTGCAATAATGCCACCGCTAAAACTATACATTGTTATCTCGTTGTCTCGATACTGGCATTGTTCAAAGCTGGAAAGGGGCATGGCTCTCCATGCAATTGTTCACCTCCTAACAAAACAAATTAGGCTCTGCACTTACGCAGTCTCTCACACACACTGCATTCTCAATGTGTTTAATGGGAGGGATCGCCCGACAGATACATTAGGCGGCTGCGGATGATCGTAAATTTAACTGCCATTCCACATAGCTTTAGCCTCTATACAAACGCATTAATTTAAACTGTCTTGGCCGTTACCGTGCTGCGTCCAGCGTGTTTGCAATAACGGCACACATATAGCCAGAGGCACCCTGGTTCAAGGAATGAAATTATGGCCCTCCTTGCCAAAATTACCCCCCCAACCAAACTCCCACTTCATCGACTGGCACCTGCGCCACTCCGGCCTGTGCCGCCGGTGGAGTTGCACCGCCTGCACACCCCCACGAGCCCCATCGCTGCATGTAGTGTGTCTAGTAATAGGTTTTTACCCTTTCAACTGGTACAAAAACTGGCACCTTTATACAAGGCATCATGTTTGCAATAACCACAACACAAGCAGTCAAAATGCAAACAAAAAGAAATAAACAACTCTGATGATGATAATGATATGCACTGTCCTTGAAGTTGATTGGTCCACACCCGAGACAGCTTTTCTTAGAGCCTAGTCTCCATTGGTGTTGGACCAGATGACGCCAAAAGGCGTACAACTCAAAGACAGCGCACGATCAGAGTATTGAGAGCTCGGGGTAAGCATTTATACTATGAGACCTCCTTTACCAGTGGCAAAATATAGTAATAGGTTTTGCCACTGGTAAAGGAGGTCTCATAGTATAAATGCAGTGTGTCTGTTCGTAGGTTTGGTCATCTCGCCCTCGCTGCCGCAGAAACGCCACTTGCGTGCATCCGAGCTCCATATTTGCAAAGCCCCCTTTTCAATCAACGGCATGGGTGATGTACGACTGTGAGCAGGTGCTTAAAGCCCTCGTGGCATTGGCGCAAAATTGCCTGCTCGAGCAAAGCATGGCGGGACCATTATGGGCTGCAACCATTGGGATATTACTGAGGACGACTGGCTTTCTTCAATCACATCAGCCCGCAGAAGGTGAGTCTTATTACGCTATTTACCAGATGTCCTTAATGTTAGCAAAGCTGTCACCTTGTCCGTTTACGGTGATTGTGAGATGAGGTGGTGAGAAAGAGCACCCATTTTAATGTAATGTCCAGATTTGTATCAATCCGCTGCGGGATGAAGGCCCTCTCCCCATGCCATCTGAGTCATGGAGTTTGTTTGACCATACTTGTCACAGATCTTAGCCACAGCCAGGAACTGAACTATAAAAGATTTTAATCTACCTGATGAGGCCCACTGAGTTATATATCCTGGCCACAAATGATAGCCCAACAAAGTGGCTTATCATGCGCACATTTATAGCAGCCAACTAACTCTAAAAGCATGTTTCTAAACATTCTAAGTCACCGCGCATTCTGCTAAGCACTGCGCCAACGCCGCAACCTGAGAATGAATTAAAGCTGCATTATTTCTAGATTTGAAGCTTTCGTGACTGCAAGGATTCATATTCTTAGGTTTTTTCGGTAAAGTCACGTAGGTAAAACATTAAAATTAATAAAAATAAAATAAAAATCACGACGTTTCGGAGGCAACACAAGCTTCTGTCTTCAGGTGGAACCGTCACAGCCACTGACAGCTGTATCAAGTAAATGAGGCTGTCGTGGCTGTGACGGTTCCACCTGAAGACGGAAGCTTGTGTTGCCTCCGAAACGTCGTGATTTATATTTTATTTTACTTTGATTAATTTTAATGTTTTACCTACGTGACTTTACCGAAAAAACCTAAGAATAAGCTGCATTATTGGTTTAACGGAAAAGCCCCTGAGTTCTGTTTGTAGTGGGGTTCTGGATATTGATGCAGCGTGCCACGCACAGACTTTGTGTAATACAATGGGCTGCAGTGCGATCATACAGCAAGGTTCGGGCAGGTTATTGAAGAGGAAGAAACGAGTGGTGGTTTGGTAGCTACGATTTTTGGTGGTGGTGGCGGGGTGGGGCAGGGTGGTGGTAAGGGAGAGGGGGTGGAGGAGTGGGCGAGGATAGCACCCTGCCTCGGGCGCCAAACCCAGTGAACATGCAACGACGGGGCCAACGCTGGCATGTGATTGGAACTATTGGACCAACGATTGCCCCAACGTTCCAGGTTTGCCGGGTGAATGTCTCACTGTGGCTCTGATGGGCAGCGGCTTAAATGAAACATATTGGTGGTTCAATCCACAGGCGTACATTTTAAACAACGGCCTTTCGAAGTTAATGTTCACATTTTTATGACATGATGAATTGCATAAGTGGGGCGGTATTTACTTGGGAAGTATATTACTTACCGTACACGGGGACACCGAAGCATATTTCGAGGTAATGAGACGCTTTAGGGATTTTTCAAGCCCTTTTAATTTTAAAGTGTTTTTATTGCCCCCTGCTGTATCGGCAATCATATTCATAAAACCATTGTTTCCCCCCCACCCGGGGAACTTACATTTTATGCAAATAATTAAAACACAAATAAAATACAAAATGCGCAAAAATTACACCGATAATAAAATTCGAATGCACCTGCTTTCAGTTAATACGCAAGCACAGTGGAGAAATTGCATTGATTCTACATCTTCTTTGCAAAATCGTTCACACGTTTTTGTTTACCTACTCGGTTACAAAAAATACTAATGTTGATCTTCATTTGAATAAAAACAAAATACATTCTTAATAAAAAGGCAGCCAAAGAATGGGACGATTACATGAGCTCGGATGCAGGTGCTCGGTGGGATTATTACATCGTAAGATTGTGGCGATGGCTTGGGGAGGCCTGCATCCAGCAGTGGATTGACCATGACTGATGATGATTTTGAGGACGTGTGAGAGCCATCTCACAAATATGTCACAGTGAACAAATTACTTGCTGATACTGCATGGGCAGTGGTACACCAGCGCAAATAACAAATGAACACTCAATGCATTCATCAATAACACTGGCCTTTAAAAAATATATATAATAATAATAGACGTTTTGGCCAATAGCCCTCTTCACAGCACACAGGCCAGAGATGTAGAGAAAAAAAAGGGACAATTGCCTGACACATCGCCTATGATACACTTTGATATTTTTTAAGGTCACGGTTTTACATGTTCAGTTTTGTTGTCGTCGTTCTGTCACAGCGAAACAGCGGCAGTGTCAAGAGTGGACGCACCGTTTTTGATGTCCTTCAGGATTTGGTGGCACCCTTTGGCCACGAACGTGATCCCTTCATCTTCGTCAGAGTCCTCTTCTGAGTCCACTGCTACAGAGAGCGATTATGCATTAGGTCCTCACACACACCCCGCTGTTCATTCTCGTTGCAACACGGGGGGGGGGGGGGGTGATGGCAAAGGTGTTACTGTTTCAGGATAAAACGACTTCACGTGAATTGGCAGCAACTTTCCCCAGTGTTAGACCTTCACGGGCCATCTGACAAAACAAGGGGAGTAACTCTAATTTTTTAACCTGCACATAAAATGATGAAAATTAAATGGGGCACTGGTGTCAAATCGTCGAAAAATTGCCACGATTTGGCGCCACGAACCCTTTGCTTGAGCACACCATCGTGTTGTTGGGAAAACCACACGATCGACTGGTTTTTATTTTTGGCTTTGCAATCATATATTATATAGTGATTTGGTGGGGAAAAAATAAACAAACGTTATCTATCAAGTAGATTAATTTTCACAATGCAACGAAAATAAAGAATGCTGTGCCAAGCTTCACAGCCATTCAGTCAAATTGCGTTTCCTAGTTTTGTTTTCGTATTGCCAGCCCAAAATTATCTTAATAATAGGGTTTTTAGCCTTTTTTTCTGGTGACAAAACTGAAACCTTTTGCAAGGAATCATGTCTGCATTAACCACAAAATGCAAACCAAAAACAACACTGATCATTTATGCATTGTCCTTGAAACTGATTAGTCCACACCAGAGACAGCTTTCCTGAGAGCCTAGTCTCATACGGTGTTCGACCAAATGACGCCAAAAGGCGCACAGTTCAAAGACAACGCACTATCAGAGTAATGAGGGCTCGGGGTAAGCATCTACAAGGGGAAAACCCTATAATTATATTTTGGTACTGACAAAAGGAGGCCTCATGACGAAATTATCTTACTAAGCTGCTGTTGTCTGCAGTTACGGTTAACTAAGTCTTTCATTCAAAAGATACAAATTGATTTCTGAGGGTGTTCGCTCCTGCTACAAAAATAAATAAAACTGAAATGAAAGACATCAGCACCTCGTTGCACCAAAACGTGGAAATTCGCGACGTAAAAGTATCGGATATCAAAGGCAGAAAAGTTAAAAATCCAGAGCAAAAGTAGATGTTGTTATGCAAAGTAAACACAAAAACGTAATAAAAGTGTGGTGGTATCACTCGCGCCATGCAAGGTCCCCAAAATGGACCAAAATAACCCCACCGGTCTCCCTTATTCACAGCGTTCAGAGCCATCGCACCTGTCCCTTCCGGCTCCCAGAGCTAACCGTACACCTCTCATGTTTTCCAAGGCCGCTCTTTGGAAAGGCCATAAATTAGGAGCCAATATGTGAGAACGGCTCACGGGGAAAAAACATTTTTTTTGCAAAAAAGAGCACCGCCGTGAAAGGCATGGCCGCAGAAGAACAAAAAAAATGGTCAAGGCGCAGGCCCTGCAATTGCTTGCTCTGGCCACTGCCGGCAGAATGACTTTTCACTCAAAGGAAGTTCTAGATAGACCCACCTCTAGGGCATCTGGTCTACTCTTCCATTCCGGACAGATGCCGTGGAAGAAGTGGGAAAACAACGACCTCTTAGCCCACCCGCATACGCGACCTGCCGATGGACTAACTGCACTGCTAAAACTACCTGCTCGGGCAGCAACATTTTAAATCTTCAGAACCTGAATGTTTCTAAAAGTATACGTGCGTAGTTGTGTTTATGTTCTACAGCCGTAAATTTTAAATGTGTTGTTAAAATGGCCCCCAAGAGGACACTTTGCTACAGCAAATACATATTAACGAAATTAGAGGTAAGTAAACATCAACCCTGACTAAAATAATATCGTTTCATGCAACAATATTAATATTGTTTCAATCGTAAAAATAATCAACATTAATGTTGCTTCACTCACCACACATGAATACTTACGAAGCAAATAGCAATGAATTAGTGTCCACCTTACATACGCATGGCAAATTCTACACACATTCTCCCACTGCATTTCTTATTTTTCTAAATATCTACGTATGCATTGCAGCCTATTTGCTTCTTCCTTCGTTGTACATGGATGCAATATACACGGCGCACACGTGTGCGCCAATTTAGAGAGAGAGAGTTTATAATTTTGTCCTCGCTTCTGCTCATCTTGTCTCGATCCAATGAAGCAGTATATTGCGGTGTTTATTTTACGTGGCATGTGAATTAATGGTTGGTATAAAATGGTCACCGTTGGTGCACCTCCCTGACGCACATAGCCAAGCTTGCAGCATACATACAAATTGAACGTCCCATCTGCCATCGTCACCAAAATCAGAGCCTCCATTCCAGGCAGACTTCATTGAGCATCATCAGCCGTGATCCATCCACTGCTGGATGAAGCCCTCCCCCCCTTCCCTCTTTGCTGTCGCTATCCCACAATGACACACCGACGCCACAATCCATCTCACTTGTGCGCCTGAGCCAATCTCATCGCCGGCTCCGCGTGGGTCATCCTCTTGGAAGTGATTTTCCTCTTTTAGCTGCCATTTTCATCAGCAATATTGTTTTGGTGCCCTCCCATCCAGAATAGCTATTCTGGTACCAAAAGCTCTCGAGATTCGTTGCCAAATTAAGGCAGTGTCTCATTGAAGAAGCCATTAAGAATACAGGCTAGAAAAATATCACACTTATTAAAACGCAATTTTAATTGCCCCATACACATACAAGGGCCGTCAAGATCCCTTGGAAATTAGGGGCTTAAAGAGAGTCACATTGTGTTAAATTAATTTACGACATACCTTTGGGCTTACTTTGAAACTCCTTGCATGATAATCATACATTCGGTATTATCTTAATGAGGGGTACTGTACTGAAACATGCTCATTAATGTTGACCTATGCATACTTTTTTGGTTAATATAATTTTCTCAAAAACATGCAATTCCCTCTCATTCAACGTTACTCCATTCCATACAGCGAGTGCATTTGTTTCAGGGGCTTGTGCCCCGCGTTGCAACGCCAGCAAAAATCGCATTGACAGTTGTTAATTGTTTCACGGGAAAGAAAAGCACACCGATTATCGTCATGAAAACGCCAGCTGTTAGCAATACATTCATAATGCCACCGCAAGCAATGCCACATGGCGTGCCTCAGCCTGGGTCTGTCTGCCATGCAATAAGACATGATGACAACCATATTCATATTTTGTTATAATTAAACGAATGCACGACATTTAATTGATGAAAAATCTACGTTGTCATGGTTATCTAGATAGAGAGGGAAAGATATTTACATGTTGCAAGTATGCTCCAAATGTATGATCTGAGCGATAACAACAGCATGCTTGCTCATCATACCACGCGGCCGTTAATGTACGCTTCACTGCACGGCGGTGCTCTTTGCTAATTCCCCGTACGGAATGAGTGGACAGCTGAAGGGACTTGAGACCAATCGTCATCGTGCAAACGCAGTGGCAAGTCTGTAGGACGATTACCTTGCCCAGCAGTCTAATCAATGGGGAACAAACGAGTGTCAACGAGCGAGCGAGCGTGCGTGCGTGCGTGCGTGCGTGGGTGGGTATGCATTTTGAATGCATCTCTGACCTGTGTCTATCCAACTGACTGAATGTTTCATCCTGGTAGATGGCGGCTTTCCATTGGCCACTCTGTCTCCCGCTTTCTATTTGAGTGAAAAGAAAATGAAAAAGAAAAAGAAAGAGGAAAACAGAACTGAGATGTCGTGGGCATCGAATCCTTAAAAAGAAATAAACACAGAAACAAAAAAAACACTTCCATGAGCACAATCGCAATCTTCACATCCCACTCTACAGTTTCGCCAAATCCTTACACAGATCCAATCTCGGAGCAAGACAAACCCAAGGTCAAAGTAAAGCGTTCACTGTGGTACTGTTGACGCTTCATCACGACGCCGATAGACCTGTTAAGGGGAGCCGGGTTATCAGATAGAAATGACACACTCAATCTAGCAGGGTAAATAGGATTCATGCACACATCATGCATAGATTGCCCCATTTGCAAGGAGTTATGCTTTTATTTATCAAGGGGGGGTCTTTGTCAACTGTATATGTGTGTGTGTATATATAGAGTAGATTCAATTTATGGATTCTTTGTCAAGACACATTTTTTGAATTCCACGCACACGACACCATGAATCTCCATTGACCATCTCCATCGCGGAAAGGGTGCACATTCTCATTAGGAGGCATTATGAAAGTGTCACAGCGCGACAAATTTTGAAAGAAAAATTCGTTTGTGATGATCCCCATATCCACATCAAATCATTGAATGGGGCCTTATTGCAATTCTGCATGCATCTTAAGGAGTCTTAAACTAAACAAAACTATTTTATTCTACCAGGTAGGGCCCACTGGGCTATGAAGCTTTTTTTTCAGGAGCGACCCAGCCACAAATGATAACTCAACGAAATGACTAATCATGTGGAAATGTATAGCAGCCATATATTCTAAACGCACGTTTCAAAAAATGTCCTTAACCTCAATAATCTTCCCGAGGTAAAACACATACAAGCCAATTAAATATTCTTAAACATGCCATTATCAACTGAAACACATCCAGATTATTGCTTGAAAATGACACACACTGTTAAATGGCTCTCTGAATATGCAGGCCTTAGTGAGCCTGTGTGTGACAAGCGAGCTTACTTAAATGAGTGCCGCATTACACACGTGTCAGCGCTTTACCAATACGCACGCTACACAATGAATTATTAAAATACATTTCTTCACCCGCGGGGAGAATGCAAAATAATTTTTTTATTGATTAATAGCAGACTTTTTTAGCACACGCTGAAATAAATACATCAACTTCTTTCCGACACATTTGGTTTCTCGTGCGAGCATTTACTAAGCGCCCGTACAAATGTTGCTCTGCATGTGGATTTCATTTGCGTAAAAACCATCATTTACCAGCACGAGCCATAACCTCTTGTACACAACTCATACATGCATTGCAACAAGCTCATTTTAGCATACATACTCTTTCTGCAAGCACTCCGAATGTCACGAACACACTAACACACCTTACGTACACACCGAAGGCAAAAGATCCCCGGTATAGCCTCAACAGACGGCAATTACTGCACCAACGGAAACCAACACGGCACACGAGGGTGGCCAACACCGCATCAAGTACTCGTTTTAGGCCGAGTAGACCTAGGGGAGGCCCCGGACTGGCTCAGATAATCGTCACTGGTTTTGGCCACGATCGGGATTCAAACTCAGGTCGCGGGTTAGAAGCGCAGGTTGCGGTAACCGCTACACGACTGCTCCCCACGTGCGTACGAAAACACGTACACACACTGACATGTGCAATAGCGATGGGGCATTGCGTGTGCATGGAGTATAACCGGGCCTTGTCGTTTGTGGAATGACAGTACCCCCCTACATCTGGCCGGAATTAGAGCATTTACGCAAAGTTGCGGCCACTCCGTGGAGACATCGCTCTCGTTGTACATTAACAAAAAGACTTATCATTTTTCCTGAAGACGACCGCTTGTGTTGAGATCGAAACGTCGTAGTTTTTTGTTATTTTCTTTGAACCCGTCTACGTGACTTTACCGAAAGACCCCAGAATATGAATATACTATTACTGGCGGCGGGGAACACGGAAACGCTCGACAGCTCTGCCCTTCTAAAATCTCCACCGTGCCAACTCGGCATCCCCCTGCAGACCGTGCCACTCACGCGTGCTACCAAAACCCGACAGGCGTTCACGTCACGTTCACCGTAATGGGTCACGGTGGATCCAGGAGAAATGTTGCGGTGAGGGCTAACGTCACCTTCTTGCAGCCCTTTGCCTTCGCCTTGCCCTGCACACAGTGTCGGCTGCTCGCAAAGGCGCTTAGGTGCTTGCGCACGGTCCTCTGGAATATCTCTGTCTCCTGCCGATCCTGCTCGCTCTGGCCGGCCAGCGTGTAGCGGCCGTACTTGTGCTTGTGCTGCGCCTCGCAGACGCACGCGCACACGCACGCCACGGTATGAACAGCACAACGCACGAGCGAGAAAAAGCCAGACGTTCAATGTCGCGGATACGGTGCATTTCGCCATCAGCATCTTCAGCAATGGTGTCAATCCATTGCTGGACGAAGGAGCCCCCACGGTGTCGTCATTCCTCACCATTCTGCGATGACTCAATCCATCTCACTCCTGCATCGGAGCAAATTTAATCGCTCCTATCTCCATGGCGCCAGTCCTCTCTAGCGTATTCTCCTCTGTGGTTGCGATGCCATCACTGATCTTGTCCATCAATCATCATCTGTTTTTAGTGATGCATCCTGCCAGGGCCCACTTAAAAAGTGATGCCGCATCTCTAATTCGTCTTTGTTCTCTGATCCATGTGTTGCACTTTCTGTCTCCCTGTGTAATTACAAGCATACATCTCTTTGTGCACTATCCAGATTTCAGCACAGGGTTGCATGGTGGGTTGCGAAGTGGGGATGGAGGCTGGACTGGCTTAGATATCCCTCGCCACTGATGTGAGCCATTGCTGAGAATCAAACTCAAGAAGGTGGGCTCCCGGCAGTGCAGTGGCGCCAACCACTATGTCAACACTTTCCCACCGATGTGAAAGCCACAGCATAAATGACTCGGATATATAATGCGTACTCTGAATTGAAAACTCATTTCGTTAGAACTGATTATTGGTGTTAAGTTTGTTGTCCTTCCCCCGCACCTCCTACGTAGAGTGCGAAAGATGTTCAACGTATGCACAATGCAACATTGCAAAAAAACAAAATTTATTAAAAGAAAGTACATTTTAAAATTCACACATTTCCGCACGCTGACCTGACGCATGGGCAAGACGACGCTCAATTCGCATTCACGACTCGTGGCGCCCACGGGCGGAGAGACGGGCGTCACGTCGCACACCGGGGCCCGAGAAACCTCCCTGGCGTGCGCGTGTTTTCAGCGGCCCTTTCTTTAACCCTTCGTCGAGCCTCGGCAATCTCTCAAACAGTGTCAGGAACTCAATAAGCAGGTGATCGGTGCGTTCCGCGGGAGGGGGGGGCGGGCCCATCGTGCGGCCGGCGAGGGGGCAGCCCCCCCCTTGGCACCCGTCGCCGAGCGATTACGCTGCCCGACCCCTACCCTGCGCGGCGGTCGATACAGGTTCTCCTGGAGCATGCGGTGAGTGACGATGTCCTCCCGGTCGCGCACACTCTTACGGCCGGCTTCCACCGCCTGCATGTCCAAGCACACGCAGCTGCTGTTCTCCCTCCTGCAGCGGCGCAAACCACACGCAGAACATCGACGGGCACGGTGATGGGCACGTGCTCTCTGTGCTGTTCGCCTTTTGGCGTCCTCTGGTCTCTGGTGTGGACCAATCAGTTTCAAAGACAATGCATATACTATCAGAGCATGTTTTATTTTTGCATGTTCACCACAAGTATATGTGGTTCATGCAGACATGATTCCTTGCAAAAAGGTTTCAGTTTGGTGTTTAAACATCTTAACACCTGTTTTATTGCCAGAAAGGGTAAAACCCATTCTCATATTTAGATAATGGCAAGAGACACCTCTGTCTGCACGACAGCGCACTGCCCGTTAATAGAGGCCTCTCGCTAGTGTTCGTGCGGATAGCACGGTGGGTCAGATGGAGTTAAACTCCGCATGGCATGCCGTGGCACAGCATGCAACGCCGTGTCCACATCCACGGACGAGCAGGGCAAGGTAATCCGGATCGGCAAATCGCAGTGCGAGGGTGAGTGTGCGTGTGTGTAGGAGGGCAGTCGGTAAGGATACACAGGTTAATCTAATTCTAATCTAATTCAAGCAGATTTTACGGTTTATTTAGCGATAACAATTAACGCAATAAATGACACATGACCCATTTATGCCACCCGTTTATTTCCAGGACTGTGAAAAATGTAGGTAATATTACCGACATAGAGTCTGACCTTAGGTTTAACCTAATGTAATCAAAATACATTGAATAATCATTTGCTCAAATTATGTTACGAAAAAAGTGAGCTCGTTAAATTACTCGGCTCTGCTACGGATATATCGAGTGCACATAAATTGGGCACACGCTCCCTGCTGAATGAATGACTCGATATGCAAATTAGTTTTCTTTTCAGGGCCAGGTGGAAGCTGTTGAGGTACAAGCGGTGGCATTACAGCATGTTGCTGATCGAAGCCTCGGGAGCCTGGAGCCGAGCCATGGAGAAGTTGACGCTGCTCATCTTATCCCCGCTCGGCGTGCGAATAAATGCCAAAGAGCCACTCCGCTCTCCCTGTACGCATCACACAGACAAAGACAGCCGCATATAGCACACGTTACATCACCTACACAAGATGAGCAAAGTGGTTTACACTGCATCCCACGATGTGCTTCTTAATGAGCGCATAAACTTTTGTTCGCGCTTTTTTGGATTTTGTTTATTTATTCATTTTGGGATCCTTTCTGTTTTACACGAGTCATGCTTCACGAGGTTTAACCGCATACAAACATATGCACGCAACCATGTGCACACGTGTGCATTCCGAACACAAAGACATAGATCCCCCATCCAGCCTTTTTAAGGGACTGTTGGGGAAAATGTCATGAGCACACACCTATGAAGGCCGGCTCGGCACACGAGTGGGCGGGTGGCCGACACGATAAACAGCCACCTTTGTCTCCCCAGTGCCGATGCTTAGATGCCTCACCAGGGCTAGCCCCAAACCAATTCACATATTTGCAACTATTATTGGTCGTGAGCGGGAATCGAACTCGGGTTCATAGCGCAATGCGCATAAACATTACACCACAGCATAGCAAAATACAAAGATCCCCCGTATAGCCTTCACATGCTGTTGGGGCAAGTGCTGTTAGCGAGCACCTATGAAGGCCGGCACGAGAGGGCTGAGTGGCCAGCAACATGCCTGGCCGCCTCCCAAGTGGCAATGTTCACGCGCCACACCAGGTACTCATTTGAGGCTGAGTCGACCTAGAGGAGGCCCAGGACCGGTGCAGATATTCGTCACTGGTGTAGGCCGTGAGCGAGAATCGAACTCGGGTCGCCGGGTTCGTAGCACAGCATGTTCACCGCTACACTACCGCTCCCCACACATCCGAATGCAACCGCAAAGACACACACACACACAGCTGTCAAGCACATAAGATCCTAATATCCGTAAGACCCTGTCTTATATGCCACGGTTGTTCAATCGCAGAGCAAAGCTTTCCTCCACCACAATAACCAATAACTGATAGTCAGGAACAATTTCTATGATTCCCCTGTTCATTCAATAAGTTTCCATTACCAGCCCAGAGGAGGCTTTGTTCAGGCGTGGCACGGTGCCCGCTTTCTTCTGTCTCGATTGTAGAATAAAATATATAATGCCAATTATTTTTAAATGCCAATTATTTTCTCAAGGAAGTCTCACCGAGTCTCGGAGATTTTTTTTCAACAAGGTCCTGCATTCGGGATAGTTGGCCAATTACTATAAAAGAGATTGTTTGGGATGTGTGAGGAAGTTCGAGCACTTGCGAGAAAACCCACAGATACGAGGATAAAAACCTCTCTCAAAGATCTGCACAGGCAGAGTTAATTCACCGCTGCATGGCCATCTAACTTGTGTCACCTTCTGACCACACCTCACAGCTCTCCTCACATTTAGGAATGTTATTATTATCATGCTCCGGCTCGGCTAAGGTCAAACATCCATCTGAAATGTTTTCCTTTTTCGAGAACTCATCAGTGACTGCAATCACACCGTCACTTTGTATTTATAGCCAAAGTATAAAAGGGCCCTATTTGAAATATATCCATCAACATTTGTTATTTTTATTTTATTTTACTTCACACGATCCACCAAAGCAGAAAATAATTATTTTTTTTAGTTTTGTAGTGAATGTGCTGAACTGCCTGGATGTGTCCATGGATGTAATTTGCCTGCAATGTTAGGCATCCCAAGGACCATATATATATACATACTAATGAGACCCAGATGAGTGAAACCCGATCCAGTGTTTTCCTTGCTTAAGCAAATGCTCCAGGAGAACATTGATTTTACAAGACTCATAGAGAACATGTTATCGTTAGTCGATGGAAAAAAATCACGTCAAATTTTGTTCAATAAACAAACCTTTTGATATATATTTGTAATTAATATAAATATATTTTTCTAGTCCTTTAGAGTTTTGGGCCATTGGAGCATGACAGTTCCCTTGACCAATATCTCCTTGCATTTCTCTCTCGACTTATTTCTGTCCTCCACTGCATCTCTCACCTCAGGTGTTTTTGACAGGCAAACAAAGATGGCTGCTATGTAACACCTTTGGTGAAATTTGGGCTACGTCTTTGTGGCAAATTCAAATGTTTTTTGTCTCACTGGGAAACAGCAGTGCAGTGGCCAACGAGAACCCAATATGACTTTTTGCTGCAATGGCCCCTTGAACTCTTCAACACATGTATGATGAAGAAACAGATGCCATCAATATGGAGGAAGGCAAGAGTCACAGCTCTGCCCAGACCCGGGAAAGACCATTCATCACCGAAAAGCTACAGAACGATCTCCCTCCTCAGCATCACTTACAAACTCTACGAACGCCTTATCCTGCGAAGAATTCACCTCTGGTGAATCTCACACTCATACGAGACCAAGCGGGCGTCAGACCCGGCCGATCCTGTGCAGGCCAACTACTAAACCTCACACAGTACATCGATGATGGTTACCAACAGAAGATGACCACAGGCGCCGCGTTTGTTGATCTGTCTGCTGCATATGACGCTGTTCAACACCGGCATCTTGATCCACAAGCTGTACCTCATAAGTGGCGACCGAGACCTTCGCCAGACCATGCGTAGCCTCCTAGAGAACAGACGCTTCAACGTGGAACTAAACGGGCAGAAACGTAGATGGTGTTCTCAAAAGAATGGCTTACCACAAGGCAGTGTGGCTCGTCCCACTTTTATTCAATATTTGCACCAACGATTAGCCACTGCCTGCTGAATGCCAGCGTTTCATCTATGCTGACGACCTCTGTATCACCACACAGCAGATGAATTTCGAGAACACAGAGAAGATCCTGGAGAGGGCACTGGATGCGCTGTCATGATAGTACCTAAATAATCATCTCAAACCCAACCCGAATAAAACCCAAATATGTGCCTTGCACCTGAGAAACTGGAATGCAGAGCGACACCTGAATGTCACCTGGGGAGACCAGAGCCTCGGACACCAGAGTCACCCAGTCTACCTCGGGTTAACACTGGATCGTATACTCAGCTACAAAAAGCACACTTTAAATACCAACGCCAAGCTCAACACACGAAACAACATTATGCGAAAGCTCGCAATTAAATGTGGGGAGCACATCCATCCAGTCTACGCGCCACTGCCTTAGCACTTCGTTTCTCCGTGGCTGAATATGTAAACATGTCGACATCCGCCCTAAACAGGCACGTGCAGAATCATATCAGGGTGCCTGAGAGCCACCCCTGTCCTGCTGCCTGTATGCAGCACTATCTGGCATAGCGCCCCCTAACATCAGGAGGAGGGTAGCAGGTGACCACGACCGGCAAGTCATAGAGTGGGGACATCCGTCATCCGCTTCGTGGCCATCAGCCAGCACAGCGTGGTCTGTCGTCGAGAAACAGCTTATTGTGCCCCAATGTACCACTGACCACATCACCGGAATATGCGAGAACGTCCCTCTGCCAAAAATAATGGGGGAAAAAAATCGAGTGACAAAACTGTTGAATGGATTCTAGATTTGAAGCTTTCGTGACTGCAAGGATTCATATTCTTAGGTTTTTTTTCGGTAAAGTCACGTAGGTAAAACATCAAAATTAATCAAAATAAAATAAAATAAAGATCACGACGTTTCGGAGGGAACACAAGTCTCCGTGAGAATTGTTTTATTATGTTTTATTTTTATTATTTTATTACTTCCCTTCTACGTGACTTTACCGAAAGGACCAAGAAGAAGTCTCCGTCATCAGGTGGGACCGTCACAGCCAGATTAGCTGCATCAAGTGAGGCAATGATTCAAGATGTAATCCCTTAAAAGCGAGTTGAGGGGGGAGGAGAGGGGGGGGGAGCTCATCATACGTTCCATTCATTGGCTACCACATTCTGATGAGCTCCCCCCCCCTCTCCTCCCCCCTCAACTCGCTGTTGAATGGAGCCGACCAGGAATCACCCCCAGTGAGGAGCTCGCGTCTGACTCCATTTCCAAATGGCTCACATGGTGGAGCCCAAACAGACTGAGAGTGGGTCTCGGCAGATGCAACTCTCTCGTTAAATCATCGGGGGGGGGGGGGGGGCGGGTGGGCTTCTACACAACTGACCAATCGCCTTGTCAGGAGAAGCAAACCACATGAATCATCTCCCGAGATGCCGTGCAGCACTCCTCAAGATTTGGCAATGCCAACACGAGAAGCGGTGGTCTGTGCAGAATATTGGGCAGAGACTATAGAGGTTGGACAGGAGACACGACGAAGACCTTTTGCTGCATACCTTGATCACCATAACCACCCTCCACCATCAGAACCCCCCCTCCACTCCCCCTGCACTATTGTGCTACTTCCACAAAGAAATGACCACTTAAGCACCGAAATCATGCATGTTACTGCAGGCATTCCAGAGACAAACACACATTTGCATTTTCTTTATGGGGAAAAAAATTATCATTATGAAGTGAATCGCAGCAAGCAGTAGAAAATTGGGGCGCGGAATCAAGCTGTTACTAATTTAAATTTCCATTATTTTGAACAAAGTCATAACGCGTTGCAGAAAAATATGCTTCGCAAAATGAGGCATTAGAGAATGCGATCAAGCGAATGCAGTACGTCGCAGTTGTCGCACGTTTTATAATTTGATAGCCATGCGTACATTTACAAATTTCGACCATTGCGTTACCATAAAATGCTTTCACTTTAGAAAATTACGCGACGAGGTCCTCATCATCCACCTCTTCAGCGCATTGCACTTCGTAAAATCGCTGGCAGCATTGTCTGGCTGCAGGGAGGATTTAACCCCGTTTCAAGCCATAAGGTGGGCCAAATACTAATTAGCGAGTGTTTACCGGAGACTGAAATTAACATCTCACATTTTCCCAAATGTGAAATATGCATGAGCATCTGCTTCAAAATGCAATAACAGTGTAACGTATACAGCGCTTGATAATTTATGCACCTTTGTTTAAATTTTTACATTATTCATCAGAGAGAGCGGCAACTTGTACTGGAATCTTAAGACCGCAAAAAATGTAGATGAGCCGTTAGTAAGGCGCGTTACATCCGTAGATCCCAATGCATTAATGTGCGTTTTCAAGACAGGCTTGAATATTATCTAAATAGATCGCTTTAAATCGGTTGCCTCAGAAAGCCTCGCTGCAGCTTTAACCCTGATAATTATCCATAGAAGGCTTCTGCTTGGCATTTCAGACAAACACAATCCTTTGAAAAAAATTGCATGAGGCAGGAAACCGTATTGCTCAGAGAAAACCCACACAGATGATGATGATGATGAGATATATACTGTGTACCCAAACTCCAGTGCACACGTACTGGACATGTACTCATTCGTTGATTCATTAAATTACACTAATTGTTCTGCCTCAAATCATGCCTTACCGCTCAATTATTTACGTATGCCAATTATACGCAGATTATATGTTCTTGTTGTTGTAAGGTTCAGCATATGGTTTGAAAAATGACAGTAACAGCATTAGAATGCTATATATGGGCCAATTATACGTTTAAGCTAATGAAGCAAACGCCACCGTACGATTCATAATCAACGTTTTTGGGTTTAGATCGCGTTCTTTATAAATGTGTCGTAACCCTCCACCACCGGCACGACCAAAGCAAAAAAAGTGTCACGTTGACAAAAGACAAATAGTTCACTGCTTTAGCCCACCAGTGTGTTGAAGCGTGAAACCACAACATAAAAAAAATTTGAGTTGTACGACGTTTCGCTGGTAATTGCATCCAGTTAATGATGACGTCATCCTGCTGCTGCTCTATTTAAGACCGGGAGCCAGAGCAGAGCCTCACCATTCTGGCGAATTGCCCGATGATGCTGGATGCAATTACCAGCGAAACGTCGTACTCAAAAATTGTAAATGTTGTGGCTTCACGCTTCAACACACCGGTGGGGCTAAAGCAGTGAACTATTTGCCTTTTGTCAACGTGACACTTTTTTGCTGATTGGCCGTGTCGGGTGGTGGAGGGTTACGACACATTAGAAATAACGCGATCTAAACCCCAAAACGTTGATTATGAATAATATTGGTCGCGAAAGCCTCACGTGTTAAACCACCATACGAGAACTATATTAAGACATGAGAAACGCCAGATAAGAGATGGCAAACATTTGATGAAATTGACAAAATAATCATTCAATCTCAATGCAACCAGGATTCCTGATGAATGGCTGTGGGCTGAGTGATTTAACCATGACAGGCCTAACAAACAATGTGTCAGAAACCTACTTTCTGTACTGTGTCTAGGCGGAACCTTCTTTATCCTACAGGCAAGTGCCTCAATCGAGTCATCGACCACCTCCGAGGTTAAAAGAGAAACCAGCATATGTCACAAAAAGAAGAATGTCTCACAACACCAGCAGAGGGGGGAACTACGTGTGTATGCATTGTCTTGAGTGGGGCGTTATAATTACGCAATCCTGGGAAGACAAAGATAGGTGGCAACCCTAGTGGCATGAGGAATCACCTGGCCGGGTGGCGCTACAGTAATCAACTCGCCTGTTGAAAGTTGTCAGTGCCACATCCTGGGTGGGGAGTTGACTCTGCCTCATCTTCTTCGACTGATCACAGTTGACTTTGTGAGAAGTCAACTGTGATCACCCTAGAGATAGACTGGCCCCATCCTACGAAAAGACTGTCAAAGAAACGGAACGGATGCCGAGTCATTGGCAGGAATAAATGAGTGCCCAATGCAAGTATTTCACGGAGAAATGGCAGCGAATCACCTCGCTATCCCGGAAGCCACTGAACATCAGCCGCCTCACCTCACCACAAAACTGTTATCAACCGTTGACTTTGAATCTCCATAAACAAGACTAAGACTTGCCCCCACCCAGGGAATGTGACCTCAAAAAGTAGACGATCCGGTGAAAAAAAGCCAGGACGGATGACAAGTGAGCCTGCGGAAGCACGTGGGAATAGTGCACCTGATCCACGAAGCTGATGGCATCCTGGATGTTGAGTCGGTGATAAACGTCCCAGATCTCGCTCTTGTTCCGCCGGGCGGACTGCCGCATCAGCAGGCGGCTCAGGTGCCGCTTGTCAAACTGCTCGAACCTACGGCGGCAGCAGCAGCGGCGGCAATGGCAATGAAAAAACCGTGCAAGCACCACCATCACGACCAGAATTAGCAGTGGCAGAAATATGCCAGTGTATGACGATGATTCCATACTTGTCACAACACCCAAGCGCCTGCAGTGTACGGGCACTCTTCAGAATTGTTCCTTTCCCAACGCGACGATGATTCCACAGAGGAGGCATGGCAGTGAACGTGGGTTGCAGGATGAATAGGTTTCATTACGGCGACTTCGAAATTGCCATCCCGGAGCGCTGAGCAAGATTGTATACAAAATATTACACTGTCTCCATTAAGTCGCCATCCATTATTACAGCCTCCGCAACGTAAGCAAAGATTTTTCATCAGACAATACAGTCATGTATTTAAGCAGAAGACAAATGATACGCATTGAAATAACCATTATCCATTATTGAAGAAGGATGTGTAGACAGCAAAGGTGGTGTGGTGGTTAGAGACCTCCGATTAGCATGGTTGGCTACGTATGGCGCAAAATAAGTTCAACATTCATACATACACCACCTGGCTGTGGCCAACATTAGCGCTTATATTTGAACACATACTGGGCAGGATGAAGACTTTGTTTGAGAAGTGTAACTCCTCTAGCCCTCCACACGTCTGCCATGGTATTGTCGATGCACATCTCCTTGAGATTTAAGAGTCCCAGGCGATTACTAATATCTGGGTGCGATTACGAAAAATGCTTCAGCTGAGTGCCGTTGAAGATCACTCAAGCTTCTGAAATAACAACAAACTTGAGTATGGTACATAAGGAAAATGTTGTCAAGATTTCAACCATGCTGTCTAATTATAATACTGTCACGCTAGATGACAACATTACAGCCGATCTCTCTCGTGCTCCCAGGGTGGGCCACTTTACTCCAGTGACCCGGGTGCTGCTCAGAGGTCGCAACCGGGTACCCGATACCCGTACCCTACCCGATACCCGTACCCTACCCGATACCCGTACCCTACCGAAACCCGTACCCTACCCAATACCCGTACCCTACCCGATACCCGGCTACCCGTACTCGGCCGGGTACGGGTACGGGTACCCGTTTGCGACCCTGATGCGGCCGGGTACGGGTAGGCCGTGAGTCACTGGTGAGTAACCGTTTGTCACTCATTTCCCAACGTCTTGTCTCTTCTCACAATTCAAGTTCCTCAAATCAACCCACCCGCGCCTGCAACATGGCTTCATCCCAGAGGTCGCAATTGGGTACCCGATACCCAGCCGGGTACGGGTAGCCAGGTATCGTCTAGGGTACGGGTACTTGTACCCGTTTGCGACCCTGGTGCGGCCGGGTACGGGTACGGGTAAGGAATCAAAACCCCTTTGTGACCTCTGGTGCTGTTGCAGGGTCCACCTGCTGCCCCGCCCCCTCTCTCCCCCCACCTCTTCTCTCCCCCCCTTACTGCCGAGGCCTATATAACCTCGTGCCACGGCAGATCTCTCGCCTACTTCCGCAGTTTTATCTTGCTGTGGTTGTCCCACCTGATGACGATTGCTTGTGTTGCGATCGAAACGTCGTGTTCTATTATTTTTCTACCTACGTGACTTTACCGAAAGAACCAAAGAGTATGGATTCCTTACCTAAGTGTTCATTTCTCACCGTAATCATCTTACCTTAAACACACTATTTTGTCCTCTGGATATGTTTACCCCCCCCCCCACCGTCATAGGGATGTATAATTTCCACCACTGACTCAGGCCTCTAAAGAGGAGATTAGCACCACCTCGATGATCATTTGAGCAGGAAGTCACTTTGACTTATTTTTCGTCCACGACCGATCCAGCCAGTCGCTGCTATGGTCTGTGCGCTGGACTTACCATTGGTTGGGAGCAAAGTTCATATCTCGATCGGGGGTCGACTCAGCCGATAATCCATCTGGAGTCAATAAAACCGCCTCCACTTTGTGGTATTGAACAGTGGTCATCATGTGAAAATACGGGCCCTTGCCAAGGTAATGTGGAATTTTAAAAACTGGTCCAGAAATGTGCTGTTTGAGCAAGGAGGCACATTCATTTACTTTTGGATTTATCTTATTCGTATTCTTCGGCATGTGCGCGTCGCTGATAATACAACATCTGTTGCCCATCGCTAGTTGTGCTGAGAACGTGATACTGGACCTTCTCCATGAACTCCTGCAGTGCAACAAAGCCGTTTGTGGCAAGGAGTTCCAGGATTCTGACCCAGTGACGGTGAAGGAGCAGGTTGGTAGATCGCACAAATGCTGTGAAACTGCCTTCCTGTGGGCGTCGAGGTGCCATACCCTGGCTCGCCAGGAGAAGGCGGTACAGCAAGTGCACTAATCGCCATCTGTTTCTTTCTGTACGGAGATAGAGTGTTGCACCCTCGCACGCATGGGTTTTCTCCAGTTGCTCCGGTTTCCTTCCACTTGTATAATAAAGACTCATTCATTGACCAAAGATATTTTAAATAAAAAAACACACAATGTAGAAGAACCCTCTTGAAAACAGTCCCATGACGCAGTGTGGCTTTCCTGGATAAATAAGTAAAAAATAATACTTTCATTATTAGTATGAACGTCCGGGTGTACCGCTGGTAGTGCAGTCACTCCACAGTCACGTGCTACTGTAATCCATCTCCCCTTTTCTGCTAATCCCTTGTGTGCGCTCCCAATGTCTCAAAGTCCTTTTTCATCACCAGTTTGTTCATCAGCTATCATTCACTGGGTCCACCCTAAGCTGCATCCACTGCACAAACCATGGCAGATGCGGATACCTGATGCACAAATGGAAAGTTACAAAAACTCTCCAGTGTGCGTCTGTGGTCATCCAGAACAGACCGCACAAGGTATAACGATGCAACGCCCAATCCACAAATACGAAGGAGACATCAAAGCGATGATGATGATGATGATACACCACTCCGCTGCTCCTTACGCAGTTGTCCCGCTTGACCACCTGGGTGTGAAATGATAGTTGTTGCTCTGCGTCTACATCAGTCGTACGAAAGAAGATTCACTGGGTTTTCAGAAAGAAGCAGCACAAAGAAATCAACTCACCTGATTCTAAATGTGCTCTAGTTTTATTCTGAGCCGAGTAGCCTCCTATTGTGCTAAACGGAACACTGCTTCTCTTTGACGGACACTATTAGCATCGTGCAATGTTATTATTCTATATTCTTTTTTCAGAACAGCCACCGAACTGTCTGTAATTGGATGGAATCTGTCATGTGCAGCTTGCAGTATTCTGACTGAAAAATGTATTCACTGCATCCTAAATGCATTAACTTTATGAAACATAAACAATACCACAGTATGCATTTTTTACCACTGTTCACAAGTAAGATACTTTTCTTTTAGCTCCAAAGACATGTGCATTTTCTATCTATTATATCAACTTTCCAAAAAAACTTGTCTTTCATATGAATGCCACTTATTTACGTAGAAAAGCAATTTGGAAACAGATTAATTGCTTCTGGTGTGGTGTGTACTGATTAATTCCCATCATAGGAATACCAAATGGTGTTATGTGAGAACATTATATTGTTTATTAATGTAATCAAACACCTTTACGTCGTGAACATTTGTTCGAATTCATATCTGCATGTGCTCCATTCCAGTAAAGTACTTTTATTATCAGTTCAATAGTGATTTAAAGCTTTCGTGACTGGAGGGATTCATATTATTGGTTCTTTCGGTAAAGTCACGTAGAAGAGAAATAATAAAATAATAATAAAAATGTCATGAAACAATAAAATTCTCACATACAAATAATTGTATTGTTTTATTTTTATTATTCTATTATTTCCCTTCTACGTGACTTTACCGAAAAAAACCAAGAATATAGTTCAATAGTTCCCACGTGCAAATAGAACTAAGATCATAGCTCCATTATGTAGGAGGTCAAAACACACAGATTGTTGTGTATTTATGTGCATTGATTTGCATCATTATTCCATGAAACTATCGTGGTGGAAAATAATAATAACTAAAACAACGTGAGACAATGCAGTAAATAGATTTACGTAAACACCCACAAGGCACACAAATAACACCCCTTGCCATCTCAACAACCAGTGCAAAGAAATAATCTCAGCGTTTTTTCTCTGACCAATGTTCCAGTTTGTACACACAGAACTGACTGAGTTGTGTGGGTGCACAAGCCCACTCTGCAGAAGATTGCACAATGCCATGATTTGATAATTGTCCAACCATTGAAACTGCTGACCTATCTATCATAAGCTAATTAAGAGATATATGTGGATCTGGTAAATGCCAGCACGGAGCTTTGTTGTGCGGGTGTGAGTGCTGAGCAGGTGCATGAAACTTTACTCAAGACTTTTGTACAAAAACAAAAGGTCAAAATGCGCGCGTTCAGTAATTCCACAGAGATACAGTGCTCTGACCCAGAATGTGACGGAGTTCAATAGAAAACCAGAGTTTGTAAATACACAGCAACAATTGATTAGCACTAAGTAAAATAAAAAATAAAATCACTATGATTATTCAAGCTTGATGTGATTCAAGCACATATATAACAAATAAATGATGCTATAAAGTATTTTATTTATTTTACCGGGCAATGCCCACTGAACTAGAAGCAACCCATCCACACCTGCCAGCTCAACAACGTGGCTTACCACGTGGTCATTTATAGCAGACACACTCTAAACAACAACTCTGTGGTTGATAGGAACAAATTCCACAACCGTGTTTCCTCACCCGAAGTAAAACAACATCTTGAAGTGGAAAGGACACGTGAATTGGGATTTCGCGGTTCTATCAAATGCATCGGAGCCCCGCGTGAGAAGGGAGGCGTTGCTTTTACTCACTTGTCCCTCCAGTAGTGATGCCCGTACTCTCCAGCCACATCCTCAACGGCCGCGAGAATGTGGTCAAATGCCTACATCAAAAGAGACCAGAGTGGAAACGTAAAAAAACAACAAACTCCCAATTTTTTTCGATTTAAAGCTTTCGTGACTGCAGGAATTCATCTTCTTGGTTCTTTCGGTAAAGTCACGTAGAAGGAAAATAATTAAATAATAAAAATAAAGCATAATAAAATCTCTGCCTTCTCGACAGACCTGTTCTCCACCTGAAGACGGCTGCTTGCGTTGTGGCCAAAACGTCGTGAGAATTATTTTATTATGTTTTATTTTTATCATTTTATTATTTTCCTTATAAGTGACTTTACCGAAAGAACCAAGAAGATAAACTCCCAATTGCTTCGCTGCATTTGCCCAGAAAAAAAGACAAAGGACGTCATGGGGAAATGTAAAAAGTCATCAATATTTCTGTTTGATGTTGAACAGGACCCCATCATTTATTTGGAATGCTCTTGCCAATAATATCTGGTTACCCAGCAGCGTTTGTCTAACAAGCCTGGCTCTGCCGATGAGACTCTGAACCTATTCAGAGTTTGCTTGCTGGAAAAATTACGCTGCTGCAAAATGTTGGTCTGGAAAGTAAAATCTGGTGCAATATTAACACATTCATTTTTATTTATACGTGAAGACAGAGCAGAGTTCTGCTTATATATTTTCATGAGTTCATTGACTGATATCGATTACTATGTTCACATCAGCCACATAAAACTGTGCTTGCAAGAATCAATTCCTCTACTTTCAATTCGTTTCGGCTGCAATCGGTTCACGGCACCCGCTGCTGCCACTGAAGTCGGCTACATTCACTAGGATGGGACAAGAAAAAAGTTAAAAATAGATTTTCTTTGAACAAATCGATGACTCGCAAAGGAAGGGTGGGCACTTCAATTACAGGTTTACATTTTTAGGCGAATCAAGGCTCAAACTTGCCCTATTCGAAAATGACACCACAAATTATGCAATTTGGATCACAAAACACAGTCGCAATAATAGCTGCCTACTGGCAGATGCATTCCTCCCAGAGGTCGCTCTTGCATATGTGACTATCCTGGCCTATTGAATTCTCACCTGGATAAACAAATGAACAAAATATAATTGAGTGGAGGCCAATAGCAATCCCTTTTTTGAGGCCGAGTTGACTTTGCATGGACGTACGTACGTTGAACTTCTTTCTCACCATACGTACGCAGCCCACCATGCCGATCGGAGGTGCGGGGGAAGGACAACAAACTAAACACACGAAAAAAACTTGTGGGAAGTCCAGGAATGGCCCAGGTACTAATGATAACTGATGTATATGGCAAGACATTGCTTAAATCCAAATACAAGCTTTGTCTTTGTATATTTCCTGTAAGCTAAAGGTCAGCGTGCAGCTCTGCTGTTATTTAAACTCATACTGCTGGTGAAGGGTCTATGTTAGAGAGATCATTGGAGAGCACCTCTGGAAGATATTCGGCCTACTCTTCCATCCTGACCAGATATCACGGAGAAGCGGGGAGTACCCACAATTTACCTCACCACACGCGGTCTGGCAGGTCGACAGAGTTACCACGAAGATTCCATCTCTCGTGCCGAGAGTTCGAAACGAATCACCGACCTTTGTGTTGCAGGTCCGGTGTGCGAACCATTACACCACGTTATAGTCCATATTGACATTTGTTATATAAGAGCTGAAAATACCACGTCTCTTTTTTGGCAATCATTACAAGCACTTGCCCCAGAAGTCTGCACAGCTCAATAGGAGCTCTTTGTGCATGAGTCTATGTGTACGTGTGTGTGTGTGCGAGTTGTGGGGAGCGGCAGTGCAGCGGTTAGCGCGCTGAGCGAGGAAACCGAAAATCCGAGTTCGATTCCCGCTCACGGTCAACAGCAGTGACAATTATCTAAATTGGTCCAGGGCCTCTCCTAGGTCGACTCAGCCTTTAATGAGTACCTACTTCGATGTGTAAACATCGCCACTTGCGACACAAAGGCGGCCGGGCCAGGCGCTGGCCACTCAGCCCTCTGTTATGCTGTGCCGGCCTTCATAGGTGCTACTCGCTAACTGCACTTGCCCCACAAGTCCGTTAAGGCTACACGGGGGTATCTTTTGTCTTTGTGTTTGGGCAAGGTACTCTCTCGTGCAGCTCCTCGGTCAGCGTCGGCTCTCGCTCCTCGCTCCTCTTCACCTTCAGCCACTTGACGAGCGGCTTGATGGTCAGACCCTGCAGACACGGGCCGCACCACATAAAGACCCGCCGCTGACTTTTCGACGATTAGTCGTAACCTTGAGCCCGTTGTTAACCGATCGCTGGATGTAGGTCTCGACACGCTGACCATACTTAACCGTGCTGGTCATCACGCTGTACTGACCAGCAAGGTGAAATATGGTCATGCGGTTCGTTTGACCATACTTCACTACGCCGGTCAATGCAAGATAGCAAGGTGAGGAAAACGAAAACAGATTGCCGGTTTGATGGTGTAGTGCGCTAACCACTGCACCACAACTCCCACTACATTATAAGAATAGGATTTTCAACCTTTTTTCTGGCAACAAAACTGAAACCTTTATTACAAGGAATCATGTCTGCATTAACCAGAATACTTGTGGTCAGAATGCAAACATTGTCGATAATAAACGCATAACCAATGCAAACAACTGCAATGTGCAAGTGAACAAGATGTGTTCGGTGCAGTTGCGGACTTTTGTGATAAGATTAGGATAAGGTTAAGCAATAAACGTTCTTTTTTTTAAACTGAGAAACTGAGAAATTGCATTAGCAGATATGAAACATTTACGCCCTTTAAAAAAAGTGTCCCACGGAACTTCGTTTGTTTTTATGGATTGTATTTTAAAATGTGCCATCCACTACCTGTTAACAGATGCACGTATATACAGTACATGTACAAGTCACCAGTTGACATTTCAAATACTACTACAGGACGACTTAGCAGTTCAAGTGTTACATCACAATAAGTGTGTGCAGTACACTGGGGGAATAAAAAAAAATAACACACATTTACCAGATCTCTGTATTGGGTCTCACCAGTTTAACTATATCATACAGGGTGCTTAAAAAACATGTTAACACTTACCGGGTACATGGGACTTGCGTTTTTAATAGAAAAAGAACGGATAATACACTGTAACATGATAACAAAAGTATGTTAATAGATTTAAAAAGTCAAAGAGTCTCCACTTGTTCGCCATCATTGTCAACGCGTGCCTGGAATCATCTCCAGGTGGTCTCCAGAGCCCAGAGGCACATTTCACGTGGTATTGTTGCAAATTCTCAAAAGTGTTTAAAAACAATTGTTGAAGCACCCTGTATTAAGCCTCGTACAATTTTTTTTTTAATGCGTTCGTGATTTTTTTATTCAAGAAGCATCAGCTTTCATCCGCTGCTATTGGAAGTGTTGTTAAAAAAAAACCGTCCCTGGCAAGTGAACCGTTAAATGCCGACCGCTTGCGTTGAATAGCGTCTGTGGTATTTAAAAGGCAAACAGCAGCAGCCAGCGCAACTGTTGGAGAAGGTGGAGGAGTCAAGTGCGGTGTTTCATGAGAATGAAGGTAAAGATAAAAGTGCAGGGGTGACTCGAGGCTCCATTGCACCGCCACTGAAGCCTCCCACTTTCCACTGATATCTTTCCATCTCCTCCGAAATGCCCAAAGAAAAATTATCATTAGGTACCATCGTGGATATTTGTGGGTAATAGTTGAATGACAAGGATGTACTCTTGACGCAACAATAAAACAAATCCTTGCAAAAGCATTTTATGAGATGATAAGTCTTGAAAAATGTGGTACGTAAAATATTAGTTCATTGAAGTGTGTTGATATCAATTCGTATGTCAAAAGAATAACACAATACATGTCATTTGAAACATTGTTCCATGACTACTTAGAAATGTTTCTGTGATAAAAACTAAGTACAACTTTACCGGTAGTGACAGGGCACATTCTATTTTTGGTAAGTCATTGCGTTTGTGCATTGCGCGATGTTCGGCAGCAGCACATGATTGCGATACGTGCACTGAATCCGTCCACACTCTGCCGGTGAGACTTGTAAGAGCCAAAACCGGTCCAGAGTTTATTTGCTTAAGCCATCTTACAAAAAAACACACAACACCAAATTCTTCCCCTTCTTTAAACCCTGGAAGACCTAACACTTGGCTTCTGTCCGTGGAGTTTCTGCCCCCCCCCCCGCCCTCTTTGTATCGCGGTCGGCGAGATGTTAACTACCTCGCCTGGTATACAGGAGGTCGTCGGTTTGATCCCGAACCTGGCGCCTCTTGTAGATTTCGAGTTTGCACGTCTGTCTCTCTCCCTTGTGGTCGTGTGGATTTTTCTCTGAGTCCTACGGTTTTTCCCCTCCACATTTATACTCAACGTGCGTTGAGACTATGTGGCTGCTCTATATTTCCACATGATGATAAGCCGACTTGCTTGAGCTATCATTTGTGGCCAGGTTGCTTCCAACCAAAGAGCCACATAGCTTAGTGGGTCTTACCTGGTAAAATGTAAGATAATTTAGTTTTAGTTTGCACGGGGCTCGTGTTGAGTTGTAATAAAAACTATTCAAGGAACGAAACAGGAGGATGTCTCCACAAATCTGGCTGTCGCCTGATGAAGCTAGTTGTAATTAAATGTTGTGGCTTTGCTCTCCAACACACCGGTGTGCTGTACTAGTAACGAATTGGCCACGTTCTGTTTACGTGACAACCCTTACTAGTTGGCTGTGTCGGTTGGTGGCGGGTTTAACGACACATTGATATATATTTACGCGATCCAACCCAAAAAAAAACCCCTCCACGATGGATGAAATCTGTCGCGAAAGCCGACTACGTGTTAAAACGAAACTGGGCCCCTTGCCTGCACGATGACGGTGAAGAAGACGACGATGATGGTGGCGCTGACAAAGAGGCGCTTCTCGGGCACGTGGCCCTCGTCGAGGAGCGCCACGAGCGCGAAGGCGACGGCGCCGCGCAGGCCGCCGTACGACATCACCGCCTGCTCGATGGAGCCCAGCGGCACCATGCGGAAGCGGTTGAGCAGCCAGGTGAGCGCCACCACACCTGTGTGGCGACGCGAGCAGACGCAACGACGGCAAAACGACGACGATTGCGGCAGCGGCGGCCGTTCGCCGCTCGGCGGCGGTGGTGGTGGTGACGTCGTCACGGCGCAAGTGCCGTGCCTGGCAAGAGGGCCCAGAGGTCGCAACTGGGTACCCGATACCCGTACCCTACCCGATACCCGGCTACCTGTACCCGGCCAGGTACGGGTACGGGTAGCCGTTTGCGACCCTGGTGCGGCCGGGTACGGGTAAGGAATCAAAACCCGTTTGCGACCTCTGAGAGGGCCACGGGACAGACCCAGGTGGCATGAGGTCGCTGCCTGAGGTGACTGGCGGATGCACCGCCTGTGCTCCCCACTGCGCAAACTTGTCGCGTTTTGGCCGCTGGCGCTCCGCTCTCGTTGTGAGCACAAATGTAACATCCGCGTGTCATTGCCGTGATCGTTTGCACTGGACGCATATAGTCGATTTTTCACTTGCACAATTCCATGCACGTTTTGTTAACTGAAGGATTTTACTTGCAAAGATGACTGGATAAATCCATACGTGCTCAATTCCGGCCATCATTAGTACAACATAAATCCAATAATCCGTGTTGATATGGGGGGGAGCATATCATGGATCTTGTAATCACAGCACACCGCAAAGATTAGTTCTATATGTGGAAACATTTTCACTCTGATGCGGCGTGCAGTGGATTATGGAATAAAGAGCCACACAATTGCATTAATCCGCAAAAAATGTGCGGATTACCGGGTAAGAACGGTACGTGACTAGCGGGTAAATTAATCCGTGATAAATTCACGGATTACAAGGTTAGGAGTTTTCATAAGATCCAAATGGTGCAAATCTGCCATTTGGGTTGACGTTAAAGGATTTTTGTAAAAAAAAAAAATTGATATCCAAATTAAAATATGCAAAAAAAATCCTACTCAACAAATCATGCCAGCACGGTGATTCTGTGCGAGATAAAAAAAAAAGACTCCGCATTTCCCTGCACTTCTACGGATCGTGGTTTGCGTTGCGTGAATAGTTTTTAATCCGCCGCCATGTGCCGCCGATCATAGGGATTCACGATTTTTGCATCACAAATTGGCGGATTTGGCTTGCAAGAGTGTAAAGATTCAAACGTGTCAAAATTCAATAATGTTAAAATCTATACATATTGAGGAACGTCCCGATGATAATTTTATGTCAGCAATACTGTTAGAGAATTAGTCACGTAGAATATAATTAAGAGATATATTCCTACTACCGTACAACAGCAGTCACAGACGTTCGCAGGCAAACAAGAGCCTGCAGGAAAACTGTCAAATGTTCGCGGAGGGAATATCTTACTGAAGCACACAGACCTTATTGCATTGCTCGGTTTTCAGAGCTCCAACTAAACGCGGGAGGAAGCGTTGACCTTTGAAGTTTATGACTTCACCATTTTCAAGGGCAAGCTACCAGCAATTGCGGAAACCGCATCGCGACAGACCACAGAGAGGTGGCTGGGAAGCAGACGCGTTGAAAAACACCACTGGCGGGGGGGGAGGTGGTGGTCGGGCTTTTTATGTCTCTCACCTGCTGCACAAATGGGAGTCTTACAAGCAGCGCACTTGAAAGTGGCATTGTGCTAAAAAAAAGTGCACAGTTCAAGGCTGACATTTCAGTTGTTTTCCACCTCCCAGAAGGCACCCGTGGGGTTTGAAAGTGGTTACTTGATAAATATCAGCCCGATTGTGCAGCGAGCGTGACCACAACATGCACACTGAGGTTAATCATTTCAAATGTGAAAATTAAACCAAAGAAGACAATTATATAATGTTGGTGAGCAGTGGGCATGGTATTCTGCCATGAGATGGGCAAAAACACGATTATACGAACTGAGGAAAATAATATATATTGCACGTGTTTGATATCAATGTAATTTAATAATAATACACAGGCCTTTGTTAATCCACTGCTGGATGAAGCCCTCCCATGCTATGTCGGTCATGGGGGTTGTCTGAGCATGCTGCACAGTGGCTTAGCGATCGAATGTGCGAGACCTAATTGCACTGACCGTGCTCGGGCCCATGATCAAGAGAGTCTCAGTGTCAGCACAACTGTGACATGGGCTTCCAATTGGCAGTGAAAGACATTGCCAATTCGGCTATGACGGTCCCACCTGATGACGGAGACTTGTGTTGCCTCCGAAACGTCGTGATTTTTTGTTTTATTTTATTTTATTTTCATTAATTTTGATGTTTTTACCTACGTGACTTTACCGAAAAAACCTAAGAATATTGCCAAGGCACTACCGATTCCAGCACCAACACTGAAACATTGTTAGAAGAACAAAAAAACATCGTGAAAATTATTCCCTGTAATAATTATTTGTTGCAAAGTAATATTAAAGGAATACATTTAAAAAAACACACACACCAATATTGACTGTACCAGATTGGGTAAAAAAAAAATGGACACGTGGTCCCACTGAGCTCCATGCTCCATGGCCCACATCAACCACACTGCACTTCCGATACCTCACCGACCCTCACGGCGACGTGCGGTCAAACAACCCCCTCATAACTGGCACGCTATAGTGACGGATGCATCCTGCGGTGGATGAACAAAGGGCTGACTTTGTGTTTATAGCTGAGCAGCAGCCACGCCGCGTGACGAGCCACACCTGTGGGACCAGTACAGACTGGCCCCGGACGTGAACGACCTTGTGACCCCTTATCAATTATCAGAGACAAAGAATCAAGTCAATAGAACTTCATTGAGTCTGAATTAGAATGAGGCTGTGGACTTCACACCAATGCATTTGAGAACAATTAAAAGAAGAAACGTGTGACGGGTTTTTTTTTATTTGATTTATGTTATATTCACACGTTCTCTCGCCAGATGTAAACATAAAAAATTTAAACCGTGCATTGCAGCTCATGATACATTCTGACTCTACGTCACATTCAGTGAAGAAAATAAATAAATAAACAAGCGAGCAAGCCACCACTATAAGCGAGGCACTGCTTGTGAAAAGAATGGAAATGTGGCACTTATTGAGCACTCCAGCTCAAAGCAACGTGTGTATACAATGCATACAAGTTGTGTAAATGTGCACAGCAGTGTCAGCACAACTGTGACACGGGCTTCCAATTGGCAGTGAGAGGCGTTGTCAAGGCAATACCGATTCCAGCACCAACATTGAAACATTGTTAGAAGAACAAAAAAACATCGTGAAAATTATTCCCTGTAATAATTATTTGTTGCAAAGTAATATTAAAGGAATACATTTAAAAAACACACACACCAATATTGACTGTACCAGAGTACAAATGTAGCACGCACGCCCCAACTTTCCGATGAGAAATGAGCCGGAATGCATACGATTTCTTGAGATCTCGGAAGCTATTGTTGTGCTGAACTGAGCTCCGATGTCTATGCTGCCTGCCTTCGCCTATTCAAATGTAGAAGAAGTCGCATGTGGTCAAATAACCTCCACAACCCGCACAGCAACAGGAGGCCCTTATCCAGCAGTAGATTGGCAAAAAGGTCTGTACATACACGTAGACACAAACACACCCAACTTATTATCGAAGCAGGTGGGAAGCTCATTTTGGATTTATCGGAAATGTATGACTAAAGATGCACAAGCGTAACATCACCCGGCCACATGCACAAACCCCCCTCCCCAAGGATATATGACAAATCTGTTGTGTAACTTTGAACTGGTCTTGGATCACACACAAATAGAGCAGTTAGTCATCCTCAGGGTCAATAATAATTGGTTTTATTTGTCCACGAAAGGCCCCACTGTGCCATATGACTCTTGTTAAGGAGGGTCCTGCGTTGTGTTTTTAGTTGAAGATGTTTTCAGGCAATTACTCATGAGTGTTCATTATACACGTGAGAGGAAACCGGAGCACCCGGAGAAACCCCACGCATGCAAGGGGGCAACCAGGGGCGGTTTCTTCATTAGGGCGATTGGGCGACGCACCACCAATGTCATTGAACCACAGAGTCACGCTAGCCGTCACTGCAGCCTCTGGATATAGTCCAATCAGCGTCATGTCACGTTCTGTGGAGTACCGCCTCTTTTTGGGCGATTTCACTCCGGCTGAGAATCGCCCCGAGTGGCCCCATAGACTTACATTCAAATATGTTTTTTTTCGACCGGGGGGCGCTCCAATGCATTCTCTATGGCTTCCGGGTGGGCTCGTCCTAACGTGCTTACGTCATCATACGTGCTTACATCATCATACGTAAGCACGTTTCATCCAACAATATAATTTGTGGCCACCGAGTGGAATCTTTCATAAAATAAACTGGAGTGGTTTGTTTTAATAGTGAGTATAGAAACAAACAAGATGTATTGTAAGAGTCACTTTATTTTTCATTAATATTAAAGAAGTGAAGTTGCCTTTACATGCTTAAGCTGTTGCATGGGTGGACCTTATCCTTATCAATCATCCAGACATTTGCCCCCCCTGAGAGATTTTGCAGGAGCCGCCACTGGGGGCAACACTCTATCCCCATACAGATGGAAATAGATGGCGATGAGTCCACTTGCTGTGTTACCGTCTCCTGACAAGCCAGGGCATGGCATCTCTTCGACGCCGACGGAAAAGGAGTTTCACGGCATATGTGCGATCCGCAAACACTCGCACCCACAGTGCCGGATGACACACCACGTGCATGACCGCCACAGCCCAGCCATAACCGGAATGATCTGGTCAATGGGAACTTTTTTTGTCGTAAAATTTGAGCAAGTTCGCATTGCCTCTTTCATCATAAGCTTTCAAACGCTGACATTTCTGCCGAGGTCTCGGGAGTTTTCCAGACCAAAAAACATGCATGCACACAGACAGATTAGCTGTTTATATTATAGATTAATATCTCAATTTAACATCCAACAGTGATATAAAGGTGCCCCCGGGACACGCCGGCATCATCATCACTCACACATCTCTCTCGCTATCAAAAGATCTGCTCTGCATGCATCAGAATGGAGATTGTTTGTCACCACAGACA